TTAAAAAGAAATCTGAAAGATTTCAGATTTTAACGGCTACCCAAAAGGGTTTGTTAAAGTTTTTAGGCTCTTGCTAAGCTCGCAATCTACCAATTTGCTGTTACACTCACTCCTACTAACCCAATTTTTGGTTTGTCTTTTTAGCTTTCTTATTAAGCATCACTTTCTTCGCACTTACGCCATACACAATTCAAAGCATAATTTCAAAAATTTTAAAAGCAGCATAACAGTATACGTTTAGAATTTTTGATGCAGTGTTGAGTGTTGGGATGCATTTTCCCAGTCTTTTCTCAGTTCATCATATCAATGTTAAGATTTCTTTACAAAACTTTTTTTCGTCTTTTTCCGATAAATAGTCTCGCACGTTGGAGATTAAAATGTTTCTTCTGTACAGCGTTGCCACTACTTGCTTTGAAGTCGCTGAGTTTGTTAATAAAAAAATAGTTAAAGTTTTACAAAATATGGAATAGATAATAAAACAAATTCGAAATTCAAAATTCGGGCTTCAGGGTGCCCACGTTCGGGTGGAGAACTACGTTATTCAAAATTTGATGGCTCTAGGTACCGCTGTGTTTTTCATACTGCAAGAAAGATGCATACATTCACGCAGATTCTTCATTTTTAAATATAATACGGGACGATAATATTTGCTGGCAACAATTTGAAAAGTGATATACCTTTTATAGTGATTCAACGCAAAATGACGTTTCGAGACTAGTATCCCATTCGGGACTAACGTCTCTTTTGGACTAAAAGGGCGCATGACATAATATCCGAAATCTGAACTAGTTAAGCATCGTCCCCTCTGCGTGTCCCATCCATTTTTGCAGAAAATGTTATTTTAGGTGTTCTAGTAAACGTCCTCTATCTCAGTGTAATATTTTTGCTGAGCAGTTTTTCTCAAACAGTTTCGATAAATGTCTCCAGAGAAGCGAATCAGACAATTATTGGTTAAAGAGGTTATCCATCATCAATCAAAACATCAGCTTTGTATTTATTCAACTGTAGAATCAATATGATTTAAACCTATTTTAATGTTAATCTCTGTGGTGAGGTAAAGATGTCTGATATATCGTAAAATGTGAACATGTTGAGGATTTGGGAAATATATAAAAACCATTGCGTTCAACAATCTTTCAGTGTAATAAAACTTGGTATAAATTGCAGGTAGTTTATTTATTTTTAAATGTACCATGAAATTATGAATAACCCTCCATGTAGTATTATTCTCATCTTTAATTTACTGCAATTTTTTAAAAAATGCTAGCATGCAATCTCATAGCTTACAATATCAAAAAAGTTTTAAAAAATTAGGAATATCGTGACTATGTAAAATACACCGTTAACACTCTATGGGCGACTATCATTCGCAGAAAACCACATTTGAAAGCGGCCATTATTTCCGAGTAACGCAAATAAACACTAGTATTGAACATCATCTCTTTCAGATGTCACCCCTCCAGAAGACAAAAATTATTTGGACCTGTTGGTGATCGTCTTAGAGAAAGCTCACTCTATATGTAAATACTAGTCTATTTTATCACTTATATTGTTACGTTTCCTCTTTACGTTACGGGTTCGTGGATTTGAAGTGAATAACGGAAACGGCACTTGATGAAGTATCAAAACACAATTTATTAGCTAGTACTCTCAGGATAAATCCAAAAACACTTTTATAGTCGTCGAAAAACTAAACAAGTTGGAACAATCAGCGACACAGCCTTCAGGCTATCACGGTGAAGACAGCAAAGCACCAAATTACAGCTCCCGACTCTGCTCGGTCGTTCTCGGAACTCTACGAACTCTTGAGGCTCTCCACGCTACAACTCGCGATGCACTCGACGATACATTAGAGTATAGCTCCCGCCTCGGTTCGGTCGTTTTCGGAGCTCAACACACTCTTAGATGAAACCCGACAATGCTAACTCTCGATGTACTAAGAGACTCTCTCGATGCACTCGACGATCAACTCGGCACTAGACTACGATACACTCGCTCGCTGAATCTTAAATGACTCGACTATTCACTCACTGGCAGACTATCAACTCGACGGACTCGACATTGACTGACTCTCCAAGTTCCGCTGGATGCGCCGCTGATTAACTTGCAGGATTTGCAAGTTTTGTTCCGGCTGTCTAAGTTAGTTGCTATAGAGTGCTGAAAGTAGGAGAATGCATGAGTGAGACCGTTAGTCAGGATTGCAGATGTTTAGAGGGCGTGACTACCTTGTCACGTGAGGTGTGAAGTAGTTGTTGATACGTTGCGAGATTTCAGGTTAGAAAAGCTGAAGATAACATTATACATACAAAATTGCAGAAATAATTACATAAAAGGGAAATTTTTTCTAGTAATAATCAGAGTAACAACTTATGGAATAAACCAAATTTAATCACTTAATACAGTCTAGCAGTCCTGTACGTTAAAGTTCGGAGTCCATGATAACGTGATGGGGGTGGTGTAAACAGAATCATATTTTCATTATAACATTCGAAGATGTTTCAGAAAGCAAATATGCAATTATTTTAGTAAGAGTTACAAAATAATAAAATAAATGCACAGCAAATATTAACACAAAATACATATATACAAATTCAAAATGTCTATCCCAGAGCATGCTTAGAATAAGCAGTCACGTGAGCGGATCAAGCATTATGATTCGCTTAGCGTAAACTTGTCCAAAACTGATGAAAAGAGATATTAAAAGAGATGTTAATGATTAAATAATGGGTTGCAATAGTGAAAAATCACTATTTTTTCCATGTTCTTCAATATGATAAATATAAGGAACATCAGAAATTTCAGTACTAAAAACGCAAAAAGTTCTACAACAAAACTGAACATAGAACTCAAGTTCTTAGGTCACGTGGGAGGTCACCGTCCCATGTGCTGACTTTTAGAAATGCTTCTTGAGTATTGAAGAAACGCAGTATTCTGGATTAAAGTAAAAGAAAATAAGAGTAAAATCCCTTTGTACAGATCAACATTTCCACTAACTTGGTATTAGGTGGGGAAATTTTCGTTTCCACTAAGTATGTATGCTGCGAAAGGTCGAAAAAATCGATCGTCGGTGAGAAATTCATAGTGAAACATGTTGAAGTGATTCATGAACTTAACACTCCTAAGCATTTTTGAAGAATTTATCGTAAAGTTTTCGCTGATGTTCCGCAATGGTATCGATTTTGAGGTCCTCATGGAGGGTCTTGTTGATGACATAATAATGTGCGTTCGTGATAATACGCAGGAGTTTATTTTGAACATTTGGAGTTTGTTTACATCTGAGGACTGACACTTCGCATACCAGCACGGTTTATATAGCTTTTGGCTTGTGTTCGAGAACATTCTGGACTAAACCAGTAAGAATTCGTTCCAGAAGGTTCTACATCCGTCTATGGCACATCGCCAATTTTGTCGCCAAATGGACGATTTCTCGCCAAATGTGGCAACTTTGCATTTCCTTGCCATTTTCCGGCAACCCTAAACCTGCTTTGCGGGGAAGCTATCTTATTGCTAACAACATTAAATTTAACTCGGTAGTATGTACTATTTCATTGTAATACTTTCATAAATCTTCTTCACTGGTAAGAAAGTCCTTCACCGAAAGCATCCCTTTCCTTAGGCCGATAGCCCTAGTAGTGTGCTTAGCCATCATCAACTCAACCAAACCAAACCAATCTTCATTGGTTCTACTGGTATAAGCTCCGATGTTTGGAATTATCTGTCTGAAATGCCGTAAGCCGTTTTTAATTTTCTCCTGAACATTTTGCTAAGCCAATATATTCAGTATCGTACGAAAACGAGATCTTTCGGGGCCCTATTTATATTTCATCTTGTTAATTTAATACCGTAAAATATAAAAAATACTAATCTTACACGAAATATCCTGCTTTTGTGGTAGTTTCTCCAAAGTGGTAGAGAAATATATAAATGATTGAAAGCGAATAATTTTAATAAGAAATTTTAATTATTTATTTAATTTTTGTTAGATGGGAAGCACCTGCAGTGTTTTGTGTACGATACGATAACATTAATGTAGATATCGATAAATAGTCTGTTCCTCTTGTAAACAGACGACATAAATTAATGACATCTAAGAATATTTCTCATGAATTCTCGCAGTGTTCTTAGTTAAAGAATTCCAGCATATAACATATGTAAGTATGTCAAATAGTTAACCCAAAAATACCTGAAACAGAAACGTTACCCACTTAAAGTTTTTGAATATAATTATTTTCATTATTATTTAAGTATCCTAAGACTTTTGCAGTAATTTATAGGTCAGTGGATTAACTATGTAAAATAATAAAAATTGATGAGATAGTTTAACGATTGATGAGTAATAACGACGCAATGAAATTACTACATGCAATCTTTAGAAAACTATCTCAATAAAAATAGAAGATACAGAAAGGACCAAAAGTGCTTGATACATTAAAAAATAATAGCAAATGTTTTAAATTGGATGGAACCGTCTCTCTAATTTAATTTTTTAAGACATAAATGTAAATTGCAACACGCCTTTTTCCTGTCACTGTGCACATATTGCAAGTGTCAAACATTACAGAACTCAAATTACGTATAACTGAAGCTAATGAGGCTGTTTCCCAATCAACACCGAAGCGCACTATGAAGTAACGCGCAAGGGGTCATTTTGGTATAGAAATTTGGTAACGACATGACACAGAAACGTTATAAATAACGTTTCTGTTTTAAAATTTTTTCAAAGACAATTGTGTATAATGTTCACACTTTACTACCTCTGTATAAATGTAATTGGAATGCTTACCTTGGAATAATTATGTCATTATAAGAGCTATCGTGATTTAGATATTTTACATGACATAAAAACATGAGATGAATGCTAGATATTAGCATTCATCTCATGTTTCATTTATCACCTGCAACAGGTGGAACCTTTTTAGTGGCGCAATATAGAAAATGAAGAAAGAAGCTTAACTCGCGATTCTTCAAACAATCAAACCAACTATATAATTTCAGGTCTCTGAGAATTGAGTTAATATGAACAGGAATATCCTGTATTTTATTTTTCTAATTTTGCTAACCGCAAGCATTTTCAGTACTTCAGGTATGTATATTTTTAACTATACTATAGAATTAATTTGTCCTTTAATACGATTTCATTGCTATTTAAATGTTGTTGGTACTTTTACAGAACAAGTACTTACTCTTTTGAGAACTTTAAACCTCTTCCAAAAATGATTAAATTATAAGAAAATGTTTAGAAATGGGATAAATTTATGTCATTGTGATGAGGATAAATATTTTTATATCTTTACTCAAAATTATTAGGTACCTTAGGTCGATATCAATCAAACAGGTTTTGGAGTATAGTACCAGGTTGCCAAAATGAAAACGAAAATTTATGTATGAAACTATGTTAAGTCAAAATATTTTCAAAAATTCCCCTAGTGAATTCCCTAATACAAATAATTCCCTAATCAAATGGCAGAGCAGACCAATTTGGTGTTAACAAAACTCTTACTTTTACTCCTATTTCTCCAACAAAATTTCCTATTTGAGTATTTATTAATAAAATTTTTATTTTGTTAAGTTTTACTAATATTCTTATTTCCTCTGCAAAAGTAGCACAAATTACTTTAATCAATAAATAAGAAGAATTTTATAGTGATTCATACGTCTGTCATATGTGAATATAATGAAATCACTCATGCTAAAACCTTTCATAGACCCCTCTTATTTTTAAAATTGAGCAATATTTATAAGAACATAAATAAGCGTAGATGTTTTAGCATCGCTTCTCTAAGGCGATCCTTCCACAGAAGACCAAAATCATTTACAACCAGATAGTCGCTTTGAGGAAGTTTCACTAAATTTTGGACACATACATTGTTAGAGTTATAACATATATATATATATATATATATATATATATATTTCCTAACAGTATTGATAATTGATTATATTATCTCCTAAGTTTAATTAAAGTAGAAGTTATTTTAAAAGTGTGCATCCATACTATATATAACCATTGCTTTGCTTGATAAAATGATATATATATATATATAGAGAGAGAGAGAGAGAGAGACAAGCGTTGGGCTTTCATCTAACATAATACAGGGAAGCTTCTGTAAGATGATCATTGAAGATTACAAATGATTTGGGTCATAGAAAGGCAATGTTCAACAGTGCTATATATTTTACTTGTTAAGTAATTTTGGTCATTTTCGGAAGTGTTTATCTAGGGAAGGTGGTTGCCTCAAAGGGATTTACTGCATTTTTAATGCTAAAATAAATTTATGTTTAGATAAAACGAATAATGTAGTGCTTGAAAATAAACGATTTACATAAAGTATTATTTTTTGAAGTAGGAAAAATGATTATCTGATGCCATATCAGGGGTTTAAATTATTATTTATGTGCACGACATGTCCACTGGTTTCCAAGATTAAAATCGGCATATCCATTTAAGTTACATGGCTGCTAAACAGGTAAACCTTTTTGACAACATAAATTCTACATTTCGTTAAAAATCATAAGTTTATTACAAACTGTTTATACTTAGCTATAAGCATTACATTGTTAATTTTACTATTATGCGTCAATAATATCACAGTTGTATTTCAACCGAACAGATACAGATAATAAATCTTGTTTCAAGCAATTAAAAATATATAGTGAAATGTGTCATAGTACCGACTTACCGTAACCCATTTGCAACTGAAAGTCACTAGCATTTCTCAGAATACAATTAAAAAACAGCACAGACTATCACGTATCTCAGGTCAACACCTCCAGAAAAAACAAATACAACTTGAAATCGATGGTACTTTAGTTATGTTTCATTGTAATTTTTTTGTTTAATTTTAATGCAGTTAAAAGCCTACCCCGTACGGGATATAAGTTAGCAAAGTCGTTTACCAAGTCACCAGAGTTAATCCTGTATTCCGCGAATCCATGGACATTTATGAATATATATAACATGATTATCCAACATATCTTACGAGTAACAATCTAACATGCTAAGCCCAACATTTAGTACTTGTAATTGAAAATTTACGCAGTTTAAAAGTAAAAATACAATTTTTAGGAGTAAAAAAAGTCACGTTCCCTGTTACAAGAAGGGATGTAACTAAACCATTCTTATTTATGCGTTTAAATAATAAATGATCTATAAACACAAAATTTTGAGCATTATGCCATATAAGCATCAACATTTAATCGTAATTAATGCGTAAATTTAATGTGCACTTGATAGAAAATCAAATCAGAGGTAAGGATGTAAGCAACATTACTTATTATTGCTGCAATGTAATTTCCCCCAGGTAATGAGATGCTGATTATTCTCCTTTATCAAGCAAATTTTACGTTAAAATTATTCCATTAGCTTTTGCCCGCTAGTTCTACTTTTTAATAGGAAGTTTTTTATTCCTGAAATATATACATTAGTTAATCTTCAATATATTTTTGTTAAGCGTCCACAGAACCTTCTTTTTCAAAGTATGTAGGTAACTTTAAAGTTTTTGAGACAAGGGCAGATATTAAGGTACCTTGGTGGACTGCTGAAATCGAATGTATGAGAAAGCAGGTTAACGCTGCTAGACGTAAGTTTCAACGAAATCGTAACCCTACTCTTAGAGAGCTATATAAACAGAAATATCTTAAGACATAGTTACAGCTTAAAGCTCCAGAATGCAAAACTTAACACATGGAGAGAATTCCTAATGAGTATAAATGAAAGGAATGTTTGGAAAAATATATATACGAATGGCTTAAAGCAAAATTTTATGAAAAGAATTGAAGTCAGTGGAATTTATCCCCCACCTGGCTGTAAGGATTATGTTAATTTTATTAACAGTTAAATTTTGAGTTAAACTTCTTTTCCTATCAATTCTTACTTCAACTTACCACCTTCCGGCCAGAACGTAGTTTTAGAATCACGTCTGAATGTTAATAAGGGCGGTATATAACCGCGAAGTTCTACAGTCTTAATGAGAGAGATACAGATATTCTGGCTGCACGCGTGCGCCTTTTTAGGCTACTCTCTCGTAAGCTATTATTACGCTCGGCCGTACTTTAGGCCCTTGACAGCTTCGCAGTCAATTAACGTTAAGGGACCAACTCTGTTAGAATCTTGATAGCTTCGGCTTTATCTCCTTTAGTTAAGATTAGTTTACTTTGATTCTTAGTTTCTTAAGTTCAAGCCCAAGTGTCGGCTTTATTATACAACTCCAAGACGGAGTTTTATTAAACATTAATTGGAATAATAAAGGGTTATTTCACCCTTCTAGCTTATTGTTTCCTGTCACACGAACTCAAGCGATTATTCGCTTATCAGTTTTTAAGATTCTTCACTTCCAACAGTAACTTAGAATTACACAGTGGGGAATCCTACATGGTAATTGTACAAAGTCGTTAGAAGAAACAATTAACGAGGTTCTAAACAGAAGCTTTCTCACAGATCCTTTTACCACAGATAATTCGTTTCATAGAATGATTAGGGCTGAAGCTTCATTAAATTATGTTGCTAATCCAGATCCTCCATTCACTATGTCAGAAATTAATAGTGTTATAGGAAACCTTAAATGCAATAAAAACTTCTGGTCTTAATTCTATTTCAAACGAAATTTTGAGAGAGTTCATATAATGTTTCCAAATTTATTTTTCAAAATCTTCAATACTTGCCTTAAGTTTGGTTCATTTCCTCTTTGCTAGAAAAGAGCGAATGTCGTTTTAATCCCTAAGAATAGTGGTCCTCGTATCCTGCATTTACATAACTTGAGATACATTTGTCTTCTTCCCAGTTTAGGAAAATGCCTAGAAAAGCTGTTTGTTAATAGAATTACCTGGTTTTTGCATAATAAAAAATTGTTAAGCAAAGCGCAATTGGGGTTTTACCCCTCATAAGAGTTGTGAAGATGCTCTTTTGTACTTAAAAGACATAGTGGACGAAGGTAAGTAGAGAAATGTATACACAGTTTTAGTGTTCCTTGATATCAAAGGTGGTAAGCCACGCCTGGTAGCCTTTTTTTTTTTTTTTTTTTTTTTTTTTTTTTTTTTTTTTTTTTTTTAAGGAAAGCTGGTATTTCGTGGTTGCCCTCAAGGCTCGGTTTCCGGACCTTTACTGTGGAATTTAATTATGAATGATCTACTCAATAGACTCTCACATTGTCTGAGTTGTAAAATAATTGCTTTTGCTGATGATCTACTAATTTGTTTTCAAGAGAAGTGTCCCAATACTCTCTTTAACACGGCTCAGAATACCTTTAATATTATTTCCAATTGGTCCAGAGAACAGAAATTGGAATTCAATCCTAATAAATCAAAAATTATGATAATTAAAAGAAAGCACGTCAGCTATACAAACCAACAATTGTACTTGAATAACACCTTACTCGAAACGGTGAATGAAATTAAGTATTTAGGCATAATTCTTTATCATAAGTTTTGTTGGACAAATCATATTATGTATTTATCCAATAAGTGTGAAAATATACTTAGAGGATTTAATCGTGTCTCTTGCAATACTTTTGGTTTAAAAATCTAATGTTATTAATATGATTTATAAGCAGGGTATTGTCCCCTTTATTTTCTATGCTTCTAGAGTGTGGGGAACAGCTTTAGAAAATAAGATTAATTCCCGTATACTTCGCAGAATTCAAAGAAGAATTTTACTATAAAAGTTGTACGTGGCTACAGATTAATTATCTATGAAGCCTGTTTTGCAATTTCAGGGTTTCCTCCGATTGACCTTCATGTTTTAAATGACAAAAAGTTTCAAGATACCATCAGCAAATTTATGTTCGGTACCAAGGTGTTGTTTGAAGATCTTCCTCATCCTGCCGATCGTTTGCCAAGTAGACTATCATTTATGAAAATTCCGCCGATGATAATTTCCCTGTTGTGTGTTATACAGATGGCAGTAAAACTAATAAACGATCTGGATTAATTTATGTCGTTTTCCATCATGGTTCTGAACTGGAATACAAACTCTTTAGAATTCCCAATGAATGCAATGTTATCTCAGCCGAATTACTGTTCACTAGTGAGTCATTTAAGTGGATATCTAACAACTGTTTGTTAAGTGCTAAATTTCTTATTCGCACTGATTCTCTTGCATCCTTGTATTATCTTATGAATATATTCTCATGTAATAACTTAATTTTCACTTCTCATGCCGTTCTTAAAGACCTTATCAATAAAGGTGTTGATGTTATCTTTTCTCATGTACGTGGTCACACTGGCAATCTAGGAAATGAAAGGGCTGATTGGTTGGCAAAACAAGCTATAAATCTTCAAGTAAATACCCCAATGATACTGCCCAAGTCATTTTTCAAGGACAAAAATAGGGATGATACAATACTCAACTGGAATGAACTATACAGGAATTCTGTTACTGCCTCCTTAACTAAATTATATTTTCCTTTCATTCCTCACAGACTGAATAATAAACACTTTTACTTTAATAAACACTCAAGTGGAATGAACTATACAGGAATTCTACTGCTGCCTCCTTAACTAAATTATATTTTCCTTCCGTTCCTCACAGACTGAATAATAAACACTTTTTCTGCAATTTTGAAATAATTCAATTTATAACTGGACATGTTAATTTCAATTCATATCTGAAGAGATTTAGATTATCTAGTACAGACTTGTGTTCATGCAGTTTCGGGGGAGTGCAAAATGCCGAACATTTATTGTTCTATTGTTCAAAGCTCGCGGAAGGACGAAAAGAATTCATTTCTAGGTTAAACTCTGTGAATATTACATTTCCTGCCCCTCTTCACGTATTTGTCCAAGATAAAATGGCTTTCTCTTTCTTCTGTAAATTTATCGCTCGCTTACGTGTCATCCGTGAATTTGTAAGTTTATTTTATTTTGTGTTGTGTTGTTGTATTTGTTTTTTTTACTTACCTCTATAGGCCTTGTGGCCTATAGAGGTAAGTAAGTGGCCTATAGGCCTATATAGTAGTGGCCTATAGGCCTTATATTATGTGGTGCACAAGGAATTTAAAATTTTCAATAAAAAAAAGGACAGATAATATGAGCTAAAGAAAGTTATTTATTAGAAGTGTAAATTTGAACTAAAATGCCCACAGACGAAAACTTGTGGTAACAACTGCAATTTATCTATCGCAGAATAAATTTTTAAAGAAAGGAAAATGTAGCTGACTCAAGAGCAATATCGCATTATGATTTCCTATGATCTTAAAGTCGGGCTGAATCAAGGAAATGCCTGCAACGTCACAATTAGCACATGAAAATACAGCTCCTTCTCTTGCCACTGTATTCAGATGGTTCAAAGGATTTCGTAGAGGATGAAATTAATTCTCTCCTGGACCAGGAACACGCAGAAAGACCTTTTGTCAGCTGTAGTCCTATAAAATGTCTTCCATCCGAAAATATCAATCAATAATAATCGTTATAGCTAATAAATGATACAATTAGCACATGAAAATACAGATCCTACTCTTGCCACTGTATTCAGATGGTTCAAAGGATTTCGTAGGGGATGAAATTAATTCTCTCCTGGACCAGGAACACGCAGAAAGACCTTTTGTAAGCTGTAGTCGTATAAAATGTCTTCTATCCGAAAATATCAATCAATAATAATCGTTATAGCTAATAAATGATACAAAAGAAACAAAGAAATGAATCGTCAGCTATACATAAATTTATTTCAGGAGAACTCCTTTTAAAAAATTTGTGTTTCCAGTAAATTAGCAGAACATCAAAACGCGAAGGGTATTAGAATCAGTAAAAAATCCTAAACTCATTTTATGATGTGGGACTCCGCATTATTTCCAAAATCATATCTTGTGATGAAACGTTTTTTGATATTTCTGTTTTTTAACGTTCCAATATATCAAGAAAGTAAAATATGGGTCTTTGAAGATGACTCTAACCAACAATAGTGAAAGGACACAAAGCCAGGGAAAATATAATATATGATGTTTTCTTCAGACCTACAAGACTGCTCAAAACCACCACAGAGGGTTCAAGCTAAATCTTCTAGAAATTCTTTAAGAAGTTAGGGGGTTCATGCTTCAGCATGATAATGCATTTTCTCATTCAGCAAGATTGACAGTTGAATTACTTGGACAAAACCAAATGGAAATGAAAAAATATTCGCCAAAATCTCCAGTCTTGCTATGTGTGATTTTTGGAATTTTATTTTAAATTTAAAACGAAATTTACATGATATTTGTTTTCATTCCCAAGATAAAACAGTCGAGGTTATAAAGGTATTTTTACATCCATTCCAGGAAATGGATGGCTTCAAGCTTTTGATAAATTCGCCGACAAAAATGCATTGGTGTATGAGGAGACTATTTTAAACACTCTAACATCTGCTAAGTTTAGCTTTTTGGAGTATATAAATGTGGAGAATCCGGTGAGCAACTGGTCGTCTGAACGCAGATTATTTCGACAAATAAACTTTCGTTATTGAATATAACCAGACAGTATTGTGTTTGAGATTCCAAGGAAAATTCGCAGTTCTAAATGAACGTAATTATCAAAAGATGATAGAACACAGCAATTGTGATGGTTTCACAGGTCCACACAGAAAGGAGTGAGTGCATAGCCTTCTGATGTGGCTACAAAGATAATCTTGTAACCAGTATTTTATCACATCATCACATATCATTGCATCGTTCGCTTAAAGTATCTGTAAGAAAAATGTCAAACTCGTAATGCTATAAAGTTATTTTTTCCTATAGCCAGTTTTAACAAGTGTAATGGAATCAACCACAGACTGTTCGACGATTTTCTTGCACTCGATGGTATAAAACTACATCAACCACACAAAACGAAATATAAATTTATAAATGATGATAAGTGTTTGAATGATGTAGCATTTTTAATAGAAATCACTGTCAATTACGTTTACTTACATAAAGTTGCATATTTCGGCAAATATTTCAGTCCCTATTGATTTTATTCTTGTTTTTGTGCACTGTTATATGGTTACGAATTATTGTTTTTTATTTATTTGGTTAACTAATTATTATTATTATTAACTTATTTATTTATTTTGGTTATGTAACTGAATCTGCGGCCACCTACTGTATTGTTTCTTTTCCAGTATCATATATTGTAAAATATCTGATATATAATTATGCACCTTTTGAGTCTGAATTCAACAATATATAAATTACGAATCTCGCGAATTTTGCGACTTCCTGGAAGCCTCGAGAAAATGTATTTGCGAAGCTTTAGGAGCTATTTTCTCCGAAGTTTCCAGAAGGCCGTCCAAACCCATATAAGCATTGTATTTGAGCTCCATAGTCAGTTAGTTATGAGTTAGTTTAGAGAGACCCACGCCTCAAAGAATTAGCCTATAAGGTATTTCTTCCGCCTTCTTAGCATTCCTTCGTGGTGCAGGGGTCAGCATACTCGGTACGTATTCGAGAGGTCCGAGGTCTGAGTCTCGGCGAGGGCATTGCTCATTTTTCACATCTCTTTAAAAATAACCTAATATCTCTGCAAACCGAAGTACGTTTTAGAATTCATAAACCATATCTCGTGAATGATATTTGGAAAATAAACGAAAGCCTTTTTTTTTTAATAGCTTACGACATTTTTGAAGGACTTTTTAAACAAGGCGCTAGCTGTTTTGAACCCAGTGATATGGAAGGTTGTAATGCTACGTTGGTAGATAGTTTCACTCCTACCCACAAAGGACTGGGTACCAACAAGCCCACAACAGAAATTGTCCTCTTTACTGAAGATAATCCTGAAAAGCCAGAATTCCTTCACCTCTGCGGTGGAAAACTTCCATCAAATAGTAAATTCAACCCGGAAGCAAATACGGAAATATTCGTTCATGGATGGTTAGACGGAGTATGCCGAACAGCATGGATGAGAGTAAGCTGTTTCTTATTTTCCCAAAAAAAAGTTTTAACAGCTGTTTTTTATATAATAATAAAATCTATAAACAATATAAAAATATGTAAGAATGACTATAACTTTACCTAATAATACGTCTCGCTAAATTAAGCAAATTTAAGTACACACAGATCCTAATACTGTAAGCTTCATAATCTAGCAAGTTCGCGACTTCAGTAAAGCTGAATTATCAAATATGCCACATTATCGGTCTAGATAATCTGGCATATTTGATAATTCAGCTTTATTGAAGCTGCAGAAAAAGTTCTAAACATAATTTAATCTGTTGTGAAATTGTAAAATTTTAATGAAGGAATGCGAAGAGTGAATTATAATTTTATACGCAATAAAATGACTGAAGACTTGGTAAGAGATAAAATTACAATGTATGCATATATTATTATTCTTAATCAGTTTTATGTTTTGGAATTGTTTCTGAATCTACTACGTTGCTGTTGCATGATGGTTTCTATTTCTAATGCCCATTTTATTGTCATAGCGTCCATCGTAGCGAAGAATACGAATTCTGACAGAATTTTGCTATATAACATTCAACCAAAATGATTCTGGTCCTACAGCAGATGCCAAATATTTTTAAACCCCGTCATCACAGCCTCTTTAAAAATTACTCATATCGAATATGTATGCCAGATTATCAGGTTTTTCAAGCTGATGGGTGTTGGAATAATCTCATGCCGAACGAAAATTTTAAAATATTAGTCAGTAAGATATTTTTTTGAGTAAAAAGTTGTCCCTTCCTTAAAAGAATAATTCTTCGAAGTTGCGAAGAAATTCTAGAATTTATCTTATTTCTCTCATTTCCAGTTGCTTCAGGAACGACTATATCCTACAGAGACATACATCGGCAAATTTAAAAGTATGTTTACTTTCACAGGAATAATTTAAATCCGTGGCTGTTTATTTTTCTCTCTTTGAAAGCTAACTTATATTCAACATAACAATCTCGATATATTTTGCTAGATCAAGGAACCACTGCGTAAGAGTCATGAATGTTTTCTTTCCTGAATTATCCAGTTATCCCTGAAATCCGCTTGTGATGTCATCTCAGTACTCGTTAAATTTTACAGGAATCCAGGAAAACTCAGGTCCTTGTCATCCAGAAAAACTAGATAGCAGCGAGTTCTATATCAGCAAACCTAGATGGACTTTGAGTCAGACTACATTTTCCAGGTTTCTACATTTCCAACTAAGCATACTTTCCAATCTAAATTATTTCTATAAAAGTTTGGTTTGGTTTGGTTTATTAGATTACGGCAAAGCACTCGAGGGCTATCTGCCTTAAGGGAGGGATGCCTTCGTGGAGGACTTTTTAAGGGAAACTGGCTCGTATATACGATACACATGGGGAAAACTACGAAAACGCCCATGCAGCCAGCCCGTTCGCGGGATTCGAACCTCGGACCGAACTACCAGTGTTCAGCGACGTTACCGCTCGGCCGCTGGTGGGCTTTCTATAAAAGTAAGCATATTTTATTATCAACCAGCGTATAGACAGTAAGAATAAAACGTATTTTTTACAGCTGTAATTCAAAACCTTTTTATGGAATTTGTTGAATATCTAAGAAATCTTTTACCCATGTTCTCCCCCCTCGGTGGTCGAGGTAGAGAACTCTGCGAAGCTATGTCTAGGATCTGTACCTAGGCAGCTCGGCCACGGGGTATAAAATTTATGAACCTAGTGGTTCTGGAGGCCCCGGAAAGGTCACTCATTGGCCGGCACGGTGGTCTGGAGAGTCCTAGGGCGGTGTAGTCTTAGTAGCCCGGGGGGGTAGCGCTCTCGGGTTCGCTGGGTAATGTCCCACTGCGGCGGGCATCCCGAACGACTGGCAGGGAGAAAACTGACGACCAGTGTCGCTCTAAGCGATGAGTCCTTCTCTCCAAAGATGCGAGGGCGGAGGTTGAACCTCTGTGCCTAGTTCTGAGAGGCGAAGGAACTCATTATGCGGTTTAGTCTCGCGGTGTGAGGAAGCCCTAAATGTTGTTGTTTTTACATACGTTCTCACTTTAGTAGCATTCGACAACTGAAAGATACTGAGTATATCTCAAGGACACCCATACTACCCTATGTCGTCCATAGGCTGGACAAATACGACCCTATGTCGTCCATAGGCTGGACAAATACGACCCTATGTCTCAAAAACACATATTACCCTCTGTCGTCCATAGGTTTAAAAACTGTTCTGCAGTTTAACAAAATATTTCAATTCTACGTTGATAGGTGCTATGATTAAACTAATATGATGCAAGTATTCTTAAGACAAGATTTTTCTTTATACCAAATGCAAAATATTTCTCAAGTTTTTGCCCCGTGTTATATAATTACGTTAATAACCTATTAATTTTTCTGTAGGAAATGAAAGAGCAACTACTGCAAAGGGGGAATTATAACGTAATACTTTTTGACTGGACATGGGGCAACACACCTGACTATGCTGTAGCTGCTTCGCACACAAAAACCGTAGGGCAACAAATGGCATTTGTAATTAAAAATATAATGGTAAGTTTTATATTTTATCTTACAAACTGCAATATACTAATCATGATTCCTCTTATGAATAACAATATTCTGGTTTAAACATGTATATCCTGGGATAATATGCAAAATTTAATTCTTAAGTCTTCCCTTACTTAGGAGCTTTAAGCCATACTGAGAGAGACGTCACCACTATAGAAATGAAAATTACTAATCTCGAAACAGATATAGAAATAAGTAATAATAACTTCAGTACAATGAAGTCCTCTATAGGGAACATTTCCCGAGAAAAGTGACAACTATTTTTGACAGCATAAATCAGAGTCGATACTGAACATCGCTTTTTAAACGACCACCTCCACTCCTATTGATACAAAATCACTGAGAACCACTGGTGGTCATCATACGGAAGATTCACTACATTTAATGACTACGAATCGTAATAAAAAACTTATTATTGATTAGTGTCATTGATATGTCGCTAACTTACCTAGCTTTCAGCAATATTACACAACTTCGTGCGTTTACAGAGCCTTAAGGTATACTAATATCGAAGGAAACTTAGAACAGAATAGAAAGCCGCTGGAATAGGGCTTTACCCTGGCGTTAACCGTACAAGATTGGTTTCCAATAAGGCGGATGTACTCTATATATAGTAAAATTTACACTAGAACACTAAAAGAACCTTATATGAACATTAAAAGCGTAGACTGTACGCATATACACACATATTAATATTATATACAAAGTTATATTATTCAGACATGAATAACTACTTAGGATGTAGCTTAAGTAATGTACAAAGAAAGTGCTTTGTCTGTTAAAGACTTCCCAGTCTGCTAGAGTTTGGATACTAGTTAATGCTATCATCAAACTCTCTAGATTAATTTGCCGTCAATTTAAAACTACTTACTGCTTTCTCAATAACAAAGAATATGCAATGACATTTGTAAAGACAGACAGTTTTTCAAGTTAAGATTGTTAAAAATATCTAATTTCAAATAATCTTCTCATGACATTTATCTCCGGTAGATGATGGCGGTATCCACGACAAGATTCCTTGTAATGCGCCGCTTTCATTACTTGCACATGGGCATGGGCATAACCTCGCTGTACGTGACACACAGTGAACCCTCTCGTGTCAAGACCATATCTGTAACCAGTATTCTTGAGACGTTGGGCGCCACTTTGTGAGGGGGGTCGTTTTAGATAGGGCCATAGAAGAGTCCTGTATAGTGTAACAAGTATTTAGTAACAGGTTTAAGTTACACACGGACATTACATTTAACTTTAAGAAAATTTCAGAGCAAGAGTCTGATACAACCTATCAAGTTAGACACTTGGCTTTTACTGAAGTACTTCTCTGGCTGCTCATCAGAGGGCACCTTTGTTGTCACAGTTAGTCCAACAGTTTATGTTAAATAATTAGTTACACTTCATTATTAAACATCATCTCTGTAAGGTGACTACTTCTTCAGCAAAACCAAAGGCATCCGGAACCGCGGTTTATTTTCTTATAGTCGATTAACAACATTTCATAAAAAAATTGATTCAGATAATGATAATAGAAAATAAGCAATTCGGATATAAATCAGTTTAATGACGTATCAGATACAGGACAGCCAAATGAAATAGATGATTACAACTCAGCAGAAAAAATTTTAGAAACAAGAGTAACACTGTTTAAGACATTAATTACTAAAGAAAAATAAGTATGTAATACATTAATTACTAAAAAATATAAGTATGTAATACATTAATTATTAATAAAGAAAATAAGTATGTAATACATTAATTACTAAAGAAAAATAAGTACGTAATTCATTAATTGCTAGAGAAAAATAGCATAAGTTAAATGCTGTGTTTACTATTTAGCAAGACATTGCTTAAATAGCGAGTAAAATCTTAGGTAGAAAAATTATTTATTATATATTGGTGCTTTTTTTTTCCCTTCTGACACTAGTTGTTGCGTTATTTTCTTCCTTCACGTTCGTATGGATTTGGAGTGAATGACGACGACACTTGATGAAGTATCGAAACACACTTTATTTGCCAGTATTGTCAGGACAGCTCCAAAACACGTTTTACAGTCGTCGATGAACTACTATAAACACGCTGACAGGATCAGGGGCACAGCCTTCATGTTATCAGGCTATAACGGTGGAGACAGCTTCCTGCAAAGCACCCGACTTTGCTTTCTGGAGTACAGCTCCCGACTCTACTTGGTTGTTCTCGGAACTCCACGTACTCTCGAGACTCTCCACGCTACAACTCGCGATGCACTCGGCGACACAACGAGCACAGCTCCCGACTCTACGGTTCAGTCGTTCCCGGAGCTCAACACGCTCTCTCGACGATGCACTAACCGCGATACACTAACTGACTCCTTCGGTGCACTCGACGACCCACTCGGCACTCGCTGCCCAGCTGTCAACTCGATCGACTCCGCAGGGATTGACTCGCTAGACGAGACACCAACTCGATACTGACTATCTTGCACTCTGGACGAGGCACTTTGATTCGCCCTCTCGACGAGGCACGCACACTCTCGATACTAACTGATTGCGGACCAGCAAAGTTTATATAGCTTTCGGCTTGTGTTGAGAACATCCTGGGCTAAACTGGTAAGAATTCGTTCCAGAAGGTTCTCCAACCGTCCATAGTATATCGCCAATTTGTCGCCTTCATGTCCTATGCAAATCCGTGGTAAACTGTGATACCCTATGCCTTACCCCTCCCTCGAAAAAACATCCTGCGGCTTACCGCGTCTGGCAATTCATTAACAATATAGTTGGGCATACCCTTTGTAGCTGTAAAAATATGAAAGAAGATATCTTTTGTTTTTTGTTTTTTTTTGTTTTTTTTTTTGTTTTTTTTTTTTTTTTTTTTTTTTTTTTTTTTTTTTTTTTTTTTCTTTTTTTTTTTTTTTTTTTTTTTTTTTTTTGTTTTTTTTTTTTTTTTTTTTTTTTTTTTTTTTTTTTTTTTTTTTTTTTTTTTTCTTTTTTTTGTTTTTTTTTTTTTGTTTTTTTTTTACCCAGCCATAATGAAACAAACCTTTTTTTAACCGCGAGAAAACCAGAAGAAAACGCATAAAATTATTCGATTTCCATCAGCAGCAATGAAGATTATGTTAACTCCTATCCTTATCGAATAAAGAATTATTGCTTAAATTTATTATGAGGGCGCTGATTAGATATTTCAATAAAAACAAAGTTTAATCTATCTCTTGCCCTCTACAGCCAAGCTAAGTTAATTTATTTTAATATGGCAAAGCATATGAAGTATATCTGCCTAAAGGAAAGAATGCTTTCTTGGAGAATTTTCTTAAAGAAGCTGTCATATATTCACATTATACATGGAAAAAAAAACAGGAAAACAAACTATGCAGACAAATCGTTCCCCTGAGATCAAATCCAGGTCAAACTCCCAGTATTCAGTGGTCTTAACCAATCGCTTTTAGGGCTACTGCAATCAGTAAACGAAGACGTTAGAGAAATTGTGCAATCTGTGACTATGATGACTTTAACAAACCAATTAAAAGTTGTGTTTCAGTCAAAGACAACATACAGAAAACGTTTCCTTCAAAATTCAGAGACATTGTTCAGGTACGGGTAAGGAAAAAAAAAATCTGTTTATTTATATAAAAGAGTAAGGGGTGCAGTTCCTTTCCGAGTTCTATTAGGAATATATTAAAGTCTTCCCAAAAAACTATTTCAACAATCTGGACTGAAGCAAAGCGTTTAAGCAGTTCAAACCGCTGAAGACTGATAGTTTCAGCCGGTTTCAAATCCCAGCAAATGGATTGTCTGCAGAGAAAATTCATTATTTTTCTTAAACGCAACATGAATACAGCTTAGCTTCCCCGAAAACATCCTCCATTCATCGCATCCTTTGGGCATCCTATCCAGCATTTTATCCTTTGGGCAGAGAGCGAACTTTACCGAAATCACATGCAGTCCACTGAAGCAGAAGAGCATTTTCTACCACCTCAATTTTACGGTCTTATTCTCAGTTATTGGCTTATTAGTGTTGTTTTGGTGCTTAACTAGGAAATAACGAAATTAACTAAGAAATAGAATTTTTTACTTGTTTCGTAATATAACTTTTTAGAATAAATTTTTTTTTAAAGTTATCATTATTCTCCAAATGCTCATACACATTTCGGGATAACATATATAAAAAATGTGCCCAGAATTAAAAACAATGTCCAGAATTCAGGACAAATAATGCATTAAATTATTTTTATACGTGTACATTCGATTCTCGAAAGCAACATCACATTCCTCACAAACACATTTAACAGCGAAAATGTCAGCATTTTATCAGCAATCAGAATCTGATGAAGAGAAATAAGTTCAACAGTCAGGATGGAATATTAAATGGAAAGCATTAAAAATTAAAATAAAGGAAGAAACAATGAATGAAAAAGATCAACCTCCAACTCAAAATAATTTGTACCAGAATGTTAACCAACCACGAGGAAGCACCTATCAATGAATATAAATAAATTAATCTAAAATAATAACCTAAATTAACTGGGAATTTATTAAAGGAAGAAATGGATATTTAAACAATGAAAAATTAGTAGTCTTAATTTACGATTTCCGTCAAACCTATCATAAGTAGTATACTGACCAACAGTAATTGCAATCCTTAACGTTCGGAACCCACGGAGAGTGGCTATGTGATGACGTCAGAGGTCATGTGAGCTACGTACCTATGACACCATCAAAATTACAAGATCTCTGACGTCACGTGCTACTTTTTGTGATATTTCAATTCTTCTCTTTCTACTTAAGGTAAAAAATTTCTGGCAACACTGTTAAAACATCAGTTAAGCAAACATCACTTAACTATAACCCTGCTTTACCAAAGCAATGAGAAAATTACCTCTGAATCAATGTCAGCACGAAGTCGGTGTTGTGTGTGTGTAACAGCTTCTTTCACTCACCATACGGAGTCTGTTCTTTACAAACGACTTAATTTTTTTTAAGTTGTGCTGTTTAGAATTATGTTATGCTTAAGTTAAATAATTAATTTAACTGTGCCAATAAAACTCAAGCGCAGTTTATTTATCTAGAATTTAACATTTACTTACTTTGTTCTGTTATTTAAATTGAATTGCAATTTATACGCAGCAACAGAAAAAAGTTAGCGCTGAAACATTCCACATCATTGGGCACAGTTTCGGTTCCCACATAGCAGGTTTTGCTGGAAAACAAATAAAGAACTTACGCAGAATTACAGGTAAGCAAATTACATTTAAAAAATTAAAATAAAGCCTGAACTGTAAAAAGGCTTTCATTAGAATTACATTGGGAAGACTATTTGAAGAATTACTTCACTTTACAAATTCAGCGAACCCTTTCGCGGCGCTCAACCACTCTAGTTAGTGGTTGAGTGGTGATTAATTAAGTCTTCGGATTAATTAAGACGGGATCTTCTAATGAAGAAGATCCAGTCTGAAAGAGTGGAAGGAGTATTCTTCGGAGCATAAACTTCGGTTTTGACGTTACTTTCTTAAAGTCACCACCTCGATAGGGGACCAAAACCATCTGAAGTTAGTCGTCCACGTAACTTACACAAAACACATAGATACAAAACATATGGTCACAAATTCAATTATTAACAGAATAAATCATTAGAATATTTTTTCAAAAGATCAAAATAAACAAGTAATAAAATAAAAGTAACACATAATATTAAAACCCATGCAAAAAAAGTAATTAATTTTAAATAGTTACACATATTTGCAACATCATATTACAGAATTTAAATTTATTAGTCCAAAGGGGCAATTTACCCGTAAGGGCTATTAATTTCGTTTCGACATTTTGCATTGATTCACTATAAACGACGAATAACTTTTTAAATTGTTGCCACCAAATATTAGAGCCCTGTATTATATTTAAATAAATTAAATAATGAAGAATCTGCATAAATGCATATACGTTTCTCGCACTGTGACAAAACAACGCTAACTAGAGCCATCAAATTTTGGAATAATGTACGTCTCCATACGAATTTGGAAGCCCAAATTTGGAATTTTGAATTTTATTATCTATTTCATATTTTGTAAAGCATTTATGAGTTTTGATTAAGAAACTCAAAGACTTAAAAGTGAGCAATGGCAACACTGTACGAAAAAAAAAATATCTCAAGTTGCGTGAGACTGTGTATCGAAAATTCTAAAAGACATGCTCTTTAAATATTTTGTGATATTGTTGTTGAACTGAATTTTATGGTTTAAGTGCGAAGAACATGATATTTTAAAGATAAAGGTAATAAAAATAAAAGTTTAAAAAAAAATTGGGCGTAAAATAAAATCTGAAAGCTTTCAGATTTTTTTCTTTTCTCTATTTTTGTTCCATACTAGGCGAAATTTGGATATTATTCACACAAAATAATATTATAAATAAATAAATACAACCTACGCCCAAAGGAGCCTTTTTACCCCAAAGGTGCAATTTGCCCCCAAGGACTATTAAATTTGTTTTGGCATTTTGCATCGGTTCACTATAAATGTTGGTTAACGTTTCAAATTGTTGCCATCAAATATTAGAGCCCTGCATTATATTTAAAGAAATTAAATAATGAAAAATCTGCATGAATGTATGTAGGTATGTATGTTTCTCGCAATGTGAAAAAACAACGATACCTAGAGACATCAAATTTTGAATAACGTAGTCCTCCATTCGAATACGGGCATCTGGAAGCCCAAATTTGGAATTTGTTTTATTATCTACTTCATATTTTGTCAACCATTAAGAATTTTTTATTAAAAAATGCAATGATTGCGAAGCGAGCAATGGCAACACTGGAAAAAAAAATTATCTTCAGCATATCTCCACTGTATATCGGAAATTGTAAACATACGCTCTTTTAAGTATTTTGTTATATTGTTGTTGAATTGAATTTTATGGTTTAAGTGCGAAGAATATGATATTTAATAAGTAAAGGTAACACACAAAACGTTAACAAATGCCTCTATGGGAGTAATATAAAATTTCAAAATTTTCAGATTTTTATTTTTTGAAATTATTTTAATTATATTGTTATTTTAGCGCTTTCTGTGTCACCTTTATTTATTATATATCATGTTCTTCGCTCTTAAACCATAAAATTCAATTCAACAGCAATATCGCAAAATAATTTAAAAATAGCATATCGTTAGAATTTCCAATACACAGTCTCGCGCACTGGAGATTAAATTGTTAGCCCAGAAGGGCTAGTAATTCGTTTTGGCATTTTACGTTGATTTACTATAAATGTCGGTTCACTTTTCAAATTGTTGTCACCAAATATTAGAGTCCTGTATTATATTTAAAGAAATTAAATAATGAGGAATCTGCATAAATAATTATGTATGTTTCTCGCACTGTGATACGACAACGGTACCTAGAGCCATCAAATTTTGAATCACGTAATCCTCCACCGAATATGGGCATCTGGAAGCCCTTATTTGAAATTTGAAATTTGTTTTATTATCTATTTCATATTTTGTAAAACTTTAAGCGCGCGAGACTGTGTATCGGAAATTCTGAAGATATGCTCATTTTAAAATAATTTTGCGATATTGCTGTTGAACTGAATTTTATGGTTAAAGTGCGAAGAACATGACATTTAATAAAGAAAAGTGACACACAAAATGTTAAAAAATGCCCCTTTTGGGAGTAGTGTAAAATCTGAAAAGCCTTCAGATTTTTATTTAAAAAATTGTTCATCTATAATCTATACTATTAATATATGTGCGCACTGTCTACTTTTATGTATTTATAATTTATAGTTTTGATCGAATGTTATTTTTTTCCTCCTGTAAAGTGTTGCTACTGATCGCTTTGGATCGTAGAGTTCACTAATCGTTCGATAACTGTTGAGTTTGTTAATCAAAAATTTGTTAAGGTTTAACAAAATATGAAACAGATAATAAAACAAATTCCAGATTCCAAATTTGGCTTTCAGATGCCCACATTCGAGTGCAGGACGTCGTTGTTCAAAATTGTCTCTAGGTACTGTTGTTTTATCACAATACGAGAAACATATATACATTTATGCAGATTCTTCATTATTTAATTTCTTTAAATATAACACAGGGCTCTAATATTTTGTGGCAAAAATTAAAAAAGTGATTCGCCGTTTATAGTGAATCAACGCAAAATGCCAAAACGAAATTAATAGCCCTTTAAGCTAAAAAATCAATATTACACACGGAATTTTATAATAGAATACGCAAATTTGTTAAATTTTGTGCTTTACTGAGAATTTTTCATATCAGTTTCTTTCCATTCTATCTTTATCTTGTCTAAATTTGGCCATTTTTAACTTCATAAAAGTCACTTTTGCAGCCACAATAGTGTGAAGGACTGTTCCCCTGTTCTACTTATCTTATTTCCTTTTTCCCAACTTTTGTCAGAAATCACTTACTTAATTCTACTTGATGATTACAGTTTCTCTTTAGTGTTTGAAACTCACTTCTCCAGTATCACTTGGTGAGATTGTAAGCCAAATGTAACGATATTCTACATTCCATCTGACTTCATTTTCTACCCACATTTTGTAGCAGATATTTTGTAGATTACATCTTAGAGTAAGAATAATTTTTCAGGCTTATTTATTTACATCTTTCTGTAAACAGACGCGAATAAAAGCTTAATCTTTGATGATAGTTTAATTTAATTTATTTCGGATTGCGAAACTAACCACTTTTTTGCCATTGTTAATTGTTTTCATGTTAAAATTTATTTATGGCCATTTAGCATTTTTTATTTACCCAAATTTTAGATTAATTTATTTTCTATTTGGATGATTTTATTTATTTTACTTTTGTTTTTGTAGATTAGATATGCAAACGTAGTGTCTTTAATTTTCATATGTACAAATAATTTAAAATAATTAATTTTGATGTTTCAGCTAATTTGAGACGAAACGAAACATACCTAGTATTCCAGATAAAGAAGCAGTATCGGTGTCAGATACTGCTTCTTGAAACGTTTGAGTTTAAAAGTGATAAAACAGCTTTATATAAGTCGTATTTAATGTATTTTTATATTTAATTCATTTTAAATTTTCCAACGCAACTAAATGCTCTTTACTATCACTTTATTCCCATTAAATTTGTATCTTTTGTTTTGATTATTTTTCTTAATAATTAGTTTTCAACATTTAAATTCATCTTTTTGCCTGTTTAGTTAAAATTTAACTTAATTAATTCATTCTTTTAAGTCAATCTTAGCAGAAATTGCGTAGGATTCGTGTTTTGAAAGTCCTATTTAAAACAATTGTTTTCAATTTTTATCAATGTTCATTAAATTCTTAACAATGTTTAACAATGTTTTTACCCGAAACATTGTTGTACAGTGAAAGTTTTAATTAAATTCATGAGTTGATCTATTTTGTCAACTTTTCGGTTCATTGTTGCGCAAATTTTGAGTTATGTTTTAAACTAAAACGGTAAAATAATTTGTCCACCTTACTTCAATCGTTTATTTATTATTTAATTTCGTTTAATCATATCACTAAATCTCAAAATAGATATAGAACTTTAAGGTTGGATTCATTTTCTACGTTTTTATTATCCAATTCTCATTATGATGCAATTCATACTGTAGCATGTGTTCGCTTATTCGATTCTCTAGAGAATCGGGAGATGTATGATCACAGTATGATCTGTACGTTAATTCAAAATTATGCAGCTATACATTTGACATTAACAAACTTCATGTAAGTAGCTATTAAACTGAAACACATGATTTCTGATATTTTAAAAAATCTGAAATAATAAGGAAAATTATACTTAGAACAACATATCCTGGACTAAACCACTAAAGAAATTCATTCTGAAAATGAATCAGATAACACATTTGAATGTGTATTCACAAATGCATCGGCAAATAATGAGGCAATAAATAAATAAATAAAATATAAAATCTCTGAACCTTCCATGTTGCTCAGGCGAAAAAGGTGTGTCCAGCGTTCATTGGAACAGCAGATGAAGATCAAGGCCAAAAATCACATGCGGAGAAGAACCTCTTTCGCGTTTATGAACAGCATTGCTATACGCTCGCAGGAATAAAGGCACCTTTTATTCCGAACCTTCTTGACTCCAGAATATAGATAGTGAGAGATGTTATGTTGTCCGATTAAATATTTCTGCCATGCCGTTCGACAGCAGATGCAAAAGGAAGGTTCAAGTGTTTTCCATACCAAGAATTCTGCACAGATCTCTAAATACTGCGCATATGTAATTTGTTCCTTGATCAGAGTGAAAAAGAAAAAAAAACTTTAAAATCGGGAAATATAGTTCTCTACTACAACTTTTGCGATGGTTGACGCTTATTATTCAGAGGATGACATAAGCGTCCGGTCGAAAAGTAGTTAATGGCAACTAAAGTAGTTCGTGATTACTTTAGTGCCATAAACACAAAAACTGTCCTTCAATGTAGACAAAAACATTTTTTGTGCCTACTGAACTGTTTTAATGGACATTTAATGGACATGAAAATTTGAATGGAGCTGTCCTTCTTGTAAACTAACATGACAGGTGATAGATACAAGGGGACTAGAAGATGTTTCAACTATGTCCTGCACCTCCTTTTGAAATTTTCTGACTTCTTTAGTTTTGCGAATGGAAGGTTAAAAACAAATGCTACTTAATAGGCAAAAAGCTTCCTGTGTCGATTCGGTAGTGTGTCAAATTTATGCGACCAACGTCATTAGAGGAGCTGGAAAGCCATTTTATATTCCTCTGCTAATCGACTTTCAGCTTAAATTTGATTCATATTTAAAATTCTGTGCTAGCGAATAATTTTTTTAAAATTCAGCTGGAGTCTGTCAGCTCCATGGGCCTTTGCACTATTTTGCCTATATTTATTTGAAAAGTCTGAGGATGCATGGATGAGTTATATCAACCACATTGACTGTGATGGGTGAAGGATGCGAATTTGATATTCAAATTTATTTTCCAATGCAATGATACTTAATCTCTATTCGCAGTTTGTGGAGTCAAGAATGGAGCCGTATGCAAATAGTTCTTGTCCATGTCCCGGGGTACATCAGCGAGCAAAACAGTCACATTAGCGACATTGTCTACAATCACACAGCCAGGAAAGTGGTTTAGTTCTCTTTCCACATACAATCTATGATTTTGACAGTGAAGTTGTAATAGTTTAATCGTCATTGATTACAGCCCCACAAATCGTAGAGGAGAAATGAAAATAGCAAAATTGGTATATACTTATAACATATTTTTGCCTTTTCTGAGACTAAGAGCTGAGAAAGTTTCAAACAGAAATTAATACTATAATGAGAGTTCTATCAACTGTTGATTATCGAGACCCCTTAACGTATTAGTTCAATACTGCAACATTTCTGCTTTCTCGGGGCTAAAATTTTAAATGATTCGGTATGAAATTAATACATGAATGTGTAATAGTTGACAATGTTACTAAATTCATATCGCTTTTCTTTTTTTCTTCTGCTATTCGGAGCCGTTTGAGACCTTCAAAAATCACAGTTAAAATAATAAATTAATGGTTTTTAAAATGAAGTAAAATAAATCGTATTCGAGATATTTAGCCCACAACATTGTATTGCTGTGATTTAAATGTATATTGATATTTATGTATAAAAGAACATTAATACAAGTTAGTAGAAAGCAAATAATTACGTTATATTTTCCCTCTTCAATACTTTTGTTTTATAATGTTTTTTAACAAAAATTACTGAAAAGTATTAACTAAAGAAAGAAATGTGATCCATTATGAATGCAGGTTTGAGAAATGGTTATAACTAAGTATTAATTTCTGAATAAGGAGATAAATTCTTAGTGTAGTTGCAGATAAATAGTGAAATTTCGGTCCTCAGGCTATCAGTTTTCCGGTTGAGGATTTGTCTTGCCATTTCCAAAATTTATCACTAAGATACGGATATCTCGCAAATACTGCAGAATCTCCTTAAAATGCCCATTTATAGTCCCAGATGACTTTGAACTTCTATGGAGACAGCTGCTTTAGAGAGCATGATTAACAGTGATGAAGCAGTAATCCACATAAGGTAGTCGCCATGACAGGTGTTAATACAACTGAACTAATGGAGAACATTATTGCATTAATGTGAACTCTTTCTAAGATGACTATCTTTGGTTCCAGATCACTCTGGTTTTCTGTCAAGATTGTGATCCTAAAAAAGAAATATTCAATATGGGCGTTCATTTATGTTCTCAAAAATATTAGTCGCTTTGGGATGTGATCGTCTTGGAAAATAGTCGCCATAGAGTTCAACATTCATGTTTTTCAAACTGATTTAAAACATTTAATATGAGTCAAATTACAGGAATTTTATCACTGCCTTACACGTGATCAAGATTCTTAAATTTGTTTTCCTAACTGTGTATATAGTATTATATTGTAACACAAATTTTCTTTCCTGTGCCTGTTGTTTCAAAACACATTTACAAGTTCAGAAAATAATTGTTTGGAATTAATTCAATGAGTACTACAGATAACAGATGGTGTTTGTAACAACTTAGGAAACAATTTATTTGGCATTAAGCATTGCAAACAAAAATTAAGCATTGCAAGTAACACTCTCTTATTAAATGCAGTTAAAGAAATTAAACCTTAGTTATCCACTTAAGTTTCAGAGGATTTAAATATCTCAAGATCAAACAAACACCCTGCAAGTTTTCAAGAAAAATTCAAGAAGTTTCATCTACGCGAAACATGAACAAAAAACAGTGCATCTTCTTGAAGCGATCACCTTTCTAAGATGACAACCTGTGAGTGTTACTTGTATTTTTGAAAATATAAATCAACATCACTTTTATATCTCGCTTCTCTGAGACAACCACTATACAGAAGATCAAAATCATCTAGTACTCTCGGTGGTTGCTTCAGAGAGGGTTAGCTGCAGTACTTAATTTTATCATCAGAAATGAACAGAACCCGTTTTGTTTATGGCGTGATCACAGACTAGAGTCTTTCTGTGAAGACTGCTGGTATTATACAAGCCATTATGTATTTATCGTTCAAATACCTCTAACTGTTTTAGAATTTCGTTTAAATCTGTACCTTGACAACACTTTGTGATTTTTTCCAGAATATAACTGCTTTGCTTCAAAAATTTCTGGGTTGTTCTGAAGGTTTAAAAAGAATGGTATTAAGCCAACACGTCTACCGCTAAATAAATGTAATAGGAATCAGATAATTAAGAAGGAAGATCTGAAATTTGCAGTTTTAGAGCAGATCCCCTTTTTGCAGTTTTAAATTTGCAGTTTTAGGCAACCCTTTCTGAAAAAGGTGTGTCTGGGAATATAAATTAACTTCTTTCCAATATATCAGCCCTTTGAAAATATAAACAGCCTTCAGGAGCCGTTTGGATGATCATCTTATGAAGGGTATACTATGTTTACTATTTATAAAATCCTTAAACATCCAGCAAATCGTGCAAATAATCGCTGCAGTTTACGAGGAGATAAAACTGCTGCCTTAGTTATAATCGATTTCCATTCATTTTACTTAATTCACTTTCACTAAACTGTTTACTTCAAATGTCTTTTCAGCTCTGGATCCAGCCCTAGCTCCTTTTAAAGGTGTGCCTCCAGAAGAACGTCTAGATTACAAGGATGCAAAAATTGTGGATGTCATACATAGCAACGCTGGAGAATGCTTTAGTATGAAAATTATGGATAACATATATTATCAAACAATTTTATTATTTAAATTGAGACCTTAATAGCTTTGAACTTATGCCTTTATATCGTTGAATTTTTACATAAAATTATATTTAATACTATAATTTGAATGTGCAAGTGAAAGAAAGTAAATCATTGGTCTCGTTTAGCACCATAAATTAAACTGTATACGCAGCTATTAAACACCCTTTAAATTTTGACCCTAGCACTCCAAGAATTCGTATTCACGGCTCTTATGCACCTGTTTTCATGCTGTAATCAAAGCAAGACGGCTTTCGAACTTGCATATTTTACGTACTCTGCATAGATATGATGATCGCAAACACTTCATCCTTAATTAAAATTCGGCAACCCTTGTTCGTCAGCATAATATCTGCCACCCTTAACCAACTCTATAAAGTATCAAGCGTTTACACCAAGAACGACAAATGTTTAGAAACTAAAAAACAAATTTGAATACATACATATCATAAAGATCACACAACACATTTAATGTACTTTATTTGTTAAATCAAAATAGCTGTAGTTATGAATATATAAATTATTTCTTATATTAGAAATTAATATAAATTTTGTTTCATATGAATAACTACCAATATAAAAAAAATTTTGAGCAAATAATTCGCTGTATAATTTCACTGCCTTAAGTGTCTCATACTAAGACAAAACATTCCAGTTTTATACGCTATTTTTGTTTAAGACAATGACTTCATATTACCAAATTTCAGTACATTATGCTTACCTGCAAGCCATAGAATGTTAATAAAACTTATTCCCTAATACTCAAAAATCTCTTTTTAGTTGAAGCCTTAGGTGCGGCTGAGCAATTGGGTCATGCAGACTTCTACCCAAATGGTGGAACTGTCCAAAAAAGCTGTATACCCTACATTTTCATCTCTTTTCTCAAAGGAGATTTTTTATATGGTCAGTATAATTCTGTGTAACAATGAATTAATAGTAATTCTGAAAATGGAACGCTCATTCTAATAAAAATTCTGAATTTAAATTCAAAAATGTATAATCTTTGTGATAGTCAGAACTGTATCTCCAGTATATATATTCAGTACATAAAAACTATACACGTTTTCGAGCATATGCATAATTTGTACGGGGAGAACAAATCATGTTTCCTTGTATATATCGATTATCCTGGATGGACATCGCGAACTAATGTCTAAGATTAATGGCATCTTGGTGCTACTTTGGTAAACCGGTTGCACGGATTTTGGCGATTTTTCTTTTAGCGAGTAATACGACTTATAGTAAACCCATTGCTGGACAAGTTATTTATGGTAACCGAACTTTGTTGTCATTTTATTTAAAAAATAATGTGTTTTATTATGCATAAATTCCGTGTTTAAAATATTATTTATGGCTTCTAAATATTAAAATCAATTTAATTTTGCATTTTTATTTGAAATAAAAATTTTATTGTTTATGATATTTTATGAAATTTTATGTTGTGGATGATGTAATCAATGACGTCACATTACTTTAAAAGTAATTGGTTTTAAATATCTATAAATTTAATCTAATGTTTTAAACATTATTTATGGCTGTTAAATATTAAAATACAATTTAATTTTGCATTTTTTTAAAAAAATGATTTTATTATGTATGATTATTTAAATAATTTTAATTCTAGGCGTGATGTAATCAGCTCTCTGATTGGTTACAGAATATTTGTGCATTAACGAGCTGTAATCAGCTCCCTAATTGGTTACTGAAAATTTGTGCATTACCGCGCCATTTTAAAATTTAATTCATATCTTCGAATTCCTTCAAAGATGAATGTTGTTATTGGTAAGTACCAAGAATTATTGGTACCGGAATCAAAAAATTGTCCTTTGAGACCTTATTTTGTCCAACCTGGCTTTTCCAATCAAAGATTTATTTATAAATTCAAAGGATCAGAGGAAATTTATTTTAAATTTTTGGAGGAAACCTCGCTAATTGCTTCTTCAGTGAAGTGCGAGAAATGTGGATCACAGATGAAGATGGTTAAAAGAGCTGATTCTGAGGACGGCCGTATATGGTATTGTGGTTACGGTGGAAGAAATAACCGCTGTAACGGTAAAAAAAAAAGTATTAGACATCCCTCCTTTTTTACGGGCAGTAAACTTACAATTGCTGTCATTTTAGGTCTAGTGTACGAAATATTCATGGGTCCTTCGTACGATAGAATTCAATGTGAGCTCGGTACTATTTCAGAAGCTGTAGCCGACTGGCGCAGTTATGTAACCGACGTTTTAGTTAATTTTGTGGAAACTAAAACGGAGAAGATCGGAAGGCCAGAGAAAATTGTGGAGATTGATGAGTCCAAAAATCAAGAAAAGAAAGTTTAACAAGGCTCGATTCGTTGAAGGGCAGTGGGTTTGGGGGGGAATAGAGCGCGATTCAGGTCGCTGTTTTTTAGTTGCTGTGTACCAGACAGAACAGCGGATACTCTTCTCGCTTTAATTAAGGATTGGATCGAACCGGGAACCACAGATTGTTTCGGACTGCTGGAAAGCTTATGACCGTTTGAGCGAAGAAGGTTTTCAATCACTTGCAAGTTAACCATTCGCTCCTATTTCGTAGATCCTGAAAAACGGAGCTCATACTAACACAGTTGAAAGACAATGGCATGACTTCCCAAAAAACTCTTTGCCGGTTTGACAATCGTCGAGGAGATTTTGAAGGATACATAGCCTGGTATTTGTTTAGGAAAATTTGCTCTGCATTGAATGAGCATCCATATATTAAATTTCTCGAAATTATTGAGACATAAACTGGGATGATTGGCATGTACTTCAGGCAGGAGCGGTTAAAGGATCTTCGAAATCTTAAAAACAATACCTATTATTGGAGATTTTTTTTTTTTTTTCAAATTTTTTTGTTATTTTTAATCTTTATGATCCATTAATTTGGCTCTAATTTAATTAATGCTATTTAATTTGGCTTAAATTTTTTGAAAAAATTTTTTATTCCTGCCCTTGATATACATTTTTCAAATTTTTTCATTGATATCTAAATTATGATTCCGATTTTTTTTTGTGGTACTTATCAATAAACAACAGGTTAAATGACTCAAAAAAATGTAAGTACATATTTTTTTTTTTAACTTTATAATTGCATACTTCAATTTTTGTTAAAAAAATTAATACACTATTTTCAAAAACTGCTGAGATAATTATTATCACATATGTTTTAATGTTAATTATTTCCTATAAAACGTATTTTAAAGTATTTGAATTTAAGTAATATTTTAATTTTTTTAAATGTTGGTATGATTTTTTATTCGATATTTAATTCAGTAATATTTTAATTCGAAATTAATTTGGCACAATGTATTTTTATAGCGGTGTTTTAACCATATTCTACTTCTTTGCTATATGAAAGTAATAATTTAATTTTACTTTAGTATTTTATACTCGTAGTAAATGTATTTATTTACATTTGCCTGCCAACTTAAAAAACGACGTTTTCAACAAAAAATTAATCCATTATTTTTAACGATATTTATTTTTTTAAAGTTTCGGATACTTTACTATGCGCAAAATAACGTTTTTCAAGATGGCTGAAGATTGTAAAAACCGCGCCAACTATTGCGCCAAAGTAAATCGCCAAAAATTCCTGCAACCGTCTACTAAAGTAGCACCAGCATCTTGGTATGGAATTTTATGACAGTATGAATTAAATGGCAGCAGTGGTAGCCAACTGATAACCTAATAACAACATAAGGCCAAAAAGGACCTTTTTTCTGTGGCCAACGGCAAGAACATAAAATTTATAATTATTATTATGACCATTTCATTTTTTCTGCATTCATATGAATAAAAATTACTAGAAATAAGCAATGTTTAAATGCAAAGACGGAGCAAGGATGACGCAAATGAAACACTTCCTCAGATTAACAGTTAAAAGGAGAGCTATGTCAGTAATAAAAACCTAGAAATTCATTGTAAGAAGTATTTAACATTGTTTGCACAGTTTACTAATTTGAAAGCATTATATTCTTGACATTCTTTTAACTCTGGGTGCTATATTAACGGAAAGCAGGCAATAAATATGCTTAACCGATTGTCTGACTACCGTTAATCATTCCTCACAGCCGTCTCCTAAGTTAGTACGGGGCTTTCTGATTTGCATTTGAAATAATATAGTATTAACATAATGTACAAAAATATTACCTAAATATGAATGATTTTATTTGATTTTATTACATTCCTGCGATTACGTTTCTTAAATACATATTTTCCATTGCATATTTTTCATTAATTACAAGAAAATGGTTAAGAAAATTACTGTATTGTAAATAATGCAACTGAATTAAGAAAAAAATTTAAGACACGTCCATTTATCCTATTTTTAGTAATTTGTTTTTCCAAAAGTGCTGTGGTTTCACTGTATTCTACTATTAAACTCCATAGCTGGAACTAAGCTACTTATGTTCATTTACGTTTAAACCTTAAATGAATTTTCCCAAGAAACGCTCAGCTGTCGGTATCAGTGATTCTAACCCATCTCCCAATAACCTGAATTTTACCTGTTACTACAAAATTCTCTGTAAAAAATCTCATTAAAGCGCAGAGTTAAATCCTCCATAACAAACTTTTTAAAGTCCACGAACTGAACTTGGAAAGAGCGATTGCCAAGATTCTTACAGCAAACATAACTCAAAAATTGCATCAAAAGATTTAACAGAAATGTGTAAAAATGATATTAATACGAATTTTGTATTTAGTTAGATATTTTCAGTAAAATTCTTTATATAAGCGGCTAAAGTGTGTGTCGCCAATAGTTTAATTGTTGCCACTCGGAAAAATGAGAGCGGAAATTAACGTTTCAGCAGTTTTTTATTAATATCTCGCAATCCACAAGTCGTACGAAAATGAGAACGGTATCGATGGATTCGGAGAATTTTTTGGAATCCGAGAATACGCGTCTCGAATTTCAACTCGGCGCTGTTTCGTAGATATTCGATAAAAAAGAATTTGGCACATTGGTAAATCCCTCTAATAGGGAAAACCCAAGAAAGAAAGTGGAAATGTAGGGGAAAAGTAGGGGAAAATTAGTTTTTAATTAATATCTCGGCTAATTAAAGTCCCAAGAAGACGCGAATGGTCAAAATGGCCTGCCATGGACCTGCTGAATCCAACGGTGTGCTTCGCTAAGCCCGGGAGCCAGCCGTTTCGGAGAAGATGATGTTACTTCACCCCATATATATATGCGGCTTAAGTGTCTGTTTGTCGCCGATAGTTTATTGGTTGCTTGCTTAACTGTACTAGCCAATGGAGTGTAGTTGTCAGGGCACAGGGTTGCCGTTTCAATTGAGACGCAGACAATTTCCTGTAAAACTTGCCTTTGCTATGACCATCAATAAATCTCAGAGCCAAACGCTTAAGCGTATTGGCATTTTTTCACCTGAGCCTGCTTTTGGACAAGGTCAACTTTATGTTGCCTGTTCAAGAGTTCGTGAAAGAACGGACGTAAAATTAAAAATAATGGATGGTCCTCTGCAAGGCGAGCTTAAAAATGATGGCAAGACCTACACAAGAAATGTTGTGTACAAAGAGATCTTTGACATGTGAATTAACATTTCATTATTTAAATCACCTTTACTGATTGAGCTAGCGATGGGGTCTTAAGAAATGTACCGCCAGTGGTTTCCTTCATTGCACTCTACTTTAAGCAATTAAGCAAGTAGAAGGGGGAAACCCTGTGGGCCAGCAAGCAAAGGGGCGTCCTCGCCGCCTGCCCTGGGTAATTCAATTTAAATTAGCAGACACCTTTGCACAAATCATTTTAATTACAATTTATAATATCTAGAACAGCGGTCATTTCGTATGACTGCCGGGCTTTCTAGTTATTTTAATAAGCGACGTCAATTTATTAATAAAAGACTAGTATATTGCATTGTATCAGTAATTTGGAAATACTAAATGCTTCGGAATACTTTATTAACTTAAGATCTTAACTGTACTAGTCTTATTTCCTAGTACTTAACTGTACAGCGGTCATTTCGTATGACCGCTGGGCTTTTTAGTATAATTATAATTGTCTTATTTCCCAGTGCAATGCAGCACGAGACATATTTTTAGAGAAAGCTATGCCGGAAAAGTAAAAATACAGGAGTACGTGCATTTAAACATTTAATAAATAGATATCTAGGTAATTTATATTTAATTTGAATAAATGTAATTGACTACTGTGCTAGCTGTAACTGTAATTCTACTCTTTTTGCTTTCCAGAAATCTCGAGAAGCAGAAATTACTAGAACTCTCTCGCGACCGATTGAAAGCTTTAAATAGCCGGAGAGAGACATCTCAGCTCAGTTTTTTAATTAGCTGCTGTTATTATTAGCTTCTTCTACGCTGTGGATTGCGTTCTATTTAACGTTTTTAGTAGTTTAAAGTATAACTACTGATTAAATTGTGTGATATTGTACTATTTTCTCTGAGGAAAAATCTGTCTGAGGAAAAATCTGTTGTATTTCTTTTGATAAGAATGAATTTTATTAACCTTGTATTGAGCACAAGTATGTACTTAACACTTTTGGTGTCTGAGTTGGGCTTGAATGCCAATAACAAGAGCGATGGAGGAGCACTTAAGACAGCTGATGGCAGCTTTTGCTGCATTTAAAGGAGATATGAAAGCTGGTCAAGTATCCGTTAAAGCAGAGATAAAGCTATTCAAGCAAAAGATGGAAACTGGTCAAGTATCTGTTAAAAAAGAGATGAAATTCTTCAGAAATCTGTTAAGGAAATACGGAAGCTATTCAGGAATCTGTTAAAGCAGAGATGAAGATGTTCAAAAAAACGTTTGAAGCAGGTCAAGAGGAAACGAAAAGAGAAATTACCTGCGTAAACCAGCGTATACGACACGAAAGCTAAGCATATTTCTTCTCAGCCCATTTTATCCTACCTGGTTTGCCTAGTAGCCATGGCAAAGACAACTACCTCAGACGTGGAGTCTTCTGGTTGTTTTCCCAGCACTTCACTTCCATTTATCCTATTTCGCTTCGGGGAAAGCAAATGAGTGAGGACCGACTTTAACTAGAGTGTCAAATGAGGTGGAGAAAATAAGTGGTCAGCAATGATAACGACACAAGCTACGATAGCAAACAGAGGGAAGGTGAGAAAACCCTGAAGTTCCTATTTTAAAGTAATAGGCTATAATGCTGCTTTGGGGTAAGATGTAAGTTTTTTGGCTATTGCGTAAAGATTCCGTTTCGCTAATATAGACAATTAGAGATCTTCAGATGTGTTTTGAGATGAGTTCCTTGACCATCTTAAAGACTAATTCACGTAAAAATTCGCCTCCTTATCCGTAAGATTATATTCAACAGAATATTTATAAAGACGCTCTGTTGCTACTAACCGTTTTTTCAACCAATCATCTTCCTTATATTTGTTATTCTTGGCATTCTACTAAATTACCTTTAAGGCATATTTAATAGTATTTAATGCTTTCTAACTCGTACACGAATTAACAGCCTTAAAATACACGCACATTTTACAACAGTTCTTACCATATTTATTCATTTTCTTCTTATGTACATGGAACGTGGTTTAATGTAGAAGTTAAGAACATATTTTTATTTTCTGTGCTTTTAGTTACTAAATCTATGTAAAATACAATATTATGTGTTAGAAAACTAACAGCACATGAGTGCTTGCCTAAGTATCTAGCACATAAGTTGCTAGATATCTTAGGCAAGTCTATACTAGCATACAAACTTTTAAATGTATGCAATAAGGCAATTTGTTTAAAGCTTTTTTATGCATTTAATTGATGAAAACTGGAGTTCAAAGAAATCATAAAATCAAAAGTTTATATAGTGAACATGATTTGCAAATGGTTTAATGCAAAGAAGTAATTAAAATTCATTTAACTCTTTACTAACAGCACTGGTTTCCTTATCGCCGACACTATGCAACCATGTACAATCCATTCAGTACTATAAAGTGTCGATCAATGCAAGTCCCTGCCAGTTTATAGGCTTAGAGGCTAAAACCTATGAGCAGTTTAAATCGGAAGACGTAACACATCGTTGCTAAAAAAAAAGGCGAAACTGTGCAGTGATGGGTATGGATTATGAAATCTATCGTTACAGAGGAGACATGAAAAGAAGAAAATTTTTCCTAGACACTACACTTAATTGCCCTTATGTTGGTGAGTATTTATATTCATTAATTACTGCTGTTAAAATATAAAACTCACTACAATAAAAATATACTGTATCTTCTGGAAAAATAATTAATATTAATTAATTTTCTATAGTTTTTAAATTAATTAAATGTTAATTGATTTTCTATAGTTTTAAATTAATTAAAATGTTAATTAATTTTCTATACTTTTTTTAATATTTATAATTTAGAATCTGATGACTGATATTAAATACATAGCTTTATAAATTTCATTTAAATCACTTAATTTCATTAATTCACTTAATTTCATTTTAATTCAAACTTATCAAATCAATAACATTTAAAGTAAAATTAAATAAATCATCCCTGGTGCTTTGGTATAAAATCCAAAATCATATATTTGAACAATAATGAAAATTGTAAGTATATCTCATTTCCGGAATTCCAAAAATACGCTGTCTCTCATTAAATATGCTATAACATTATAGTCTCTATGCTGATCTTGCTAAAGACACATAAATCACACTAATTGTCAAAAAACAATAATTCTTAAATTCTAAAGATAGTCAAAAATTCATATGATGAAATACAAAAATATATGATAAAAGCAAATACAAAAATACCTCTACACACCAGGGAATGATTATCTCCGCATAAAAAGAGTCAATCACCATTTCACATAAAATAATAACAAATTAATTCATATTATTCAGTATCTGTCTTTTAAAATCTAAAGGAATTTTTCAGTTCAAGAATAGATACACCTTAAAAGTCAACTATTTCATCGGACATGCTAGCAAATATAATTTCCACTATGACCCATAATTAATTAATTCCACAATAAACAGCATTAGTAGTACATTGTAACTGCAAAATTAAAATACCGCAGGTTCGAACATAAAGCCTCATGTTTCTTAAAGCGTGAAGATGAGACACTGAGTGACATGGTAGACCAAAAATAATATAAACATGCACTAATTTACGTTTTAACGCATTTGTTAAATTATCTCGAATTAACGGAAACATAAAAATAATTCAGAATGACTACAAGTGGCTAATAATATTCTCTTAAAAATGAACTATAATAAGGCTTATTTAATTTATTATCAGTTACATCTGACACTGAATTTCTGAATTCATTCTTTTTAAATACATACCCCTTTTACCCCTTTAAATGTAAAAGTATAATTAACATAGTAAAGAAAAATTAATTAATATAAATTCTTAAATTAAAATAGCTTCACTTGATTAAAACTATTATTAAATATTAGTTATTATTACCAATTTTTTAATTATGAAATATAATTATTGTTAATTATATGTTATTAATTAACATTAATAACACAATAATTGTTAATTATCTGTTATTAATTAGCATTAATAACACAATAACAGTTATTAATTTAATTTACTACTAAACAGTTAAAATTAATAAAGTAAAAATAAAACAGAAATTCAATAGAAATAATTACATAATAAAGTAAAGACCATGACGTCTAGTTGCACAGTCCACCACAACACCAAGACATTACTCAACTGAAAGGACTGGACCCGACCACGGAATCAACACCAAGACAATGGACAATCCAGATATTGAAAGGATCCTCCTCACATGTGCTTCATATGGAATCCATAGACACATTTCGCTAGCTTGTCTGTGCGAGGAAAGCCACAGGTTTAAACTTCGGGGCTTCTCCAGCGCACTCCTTCGAAGCACATGCTCTTCTGCGTCCCACTTCAATGTTACAGTACTTTTTAAGCCAAAAAGATTCGGTGACCAAAAAAATGCAAATAGTAATTTGAATATCAAAGCTGCATTTCGGAAATGACTTGCAGCTTCTGCAACTGCAAGCTTTCCACCTGGTCAAGGAGACTGGAGCTGCTACCGTTGACACAGAAAAAAGCCCTCAATGGCATGAGTTTGCATCGTGCATTGTACTATGACTTCCCTCCGCTAGACATGGGGTCCAGGGCACGCTGACAAGGGAATACATACACCTTGACTGTTTTTCTGCTCAAAACTTATCAACTCAGATCCTGAATACTAAAACCGTGGAAGCTACGAAGAAACCTCAGAATATACGCGCGAAAAAAATTGTAGATCAATTCAAAAAACAATAATAATTACCGTCCAATAACCAATATTTAAGGAAAATGTCCTCCTAACCGGAACAAATCGAAAAAAACTGCGACCGGTAATGACTCACCTTGCATCCGCAACCGGGCCGTCTTCAAACCCCATGAAAACAAATTTGATCCTCTCGTTAGCTTTCAAAACTGAAAGTTCATCCAAAGCAGAGAAAAGAATGCAGACTATCTTTGAAAGTCGAAAACCTTTATATGCATCTAGTTAAAAAAAGAGTAGTTCTTCCGAGGGATTTCTGAGTTCCTACAGCTAATGAATTAGAAATTTCAGCCCCTTTCTCGGAAAAAGGCAAAAGCGAAAAAAATAACATTGAATTGCTCTCTTGCCATGGCGATTTCAGGAAAACATGCGGCCGGCTTAACTGGCCATCGAAATTCATTCCTTCTAGTTCATTTCGCCAACACATATTCAGAAAACTCTTTCTTTCTCTGACCTCACCCTAAATTCCAAACCCTGAAAATGCTAGCAAGGTTACAGAATTAAGTATACGACAGCTTAGTTTTAACTCCCAAAGTTGCCACAATAATGTAAAAAAAATTCCTTTGAATTTAAAATCCTTAATCACATGAATTAAATTTATCCTATATTAAATTTTATGCGCAGTAATTGCGTTTTAATCGTTGTGCAGCGTTCATGATATCGAGCCCTCATTAGGATACCTATTCATTTTTTCATGTGATTTTGATATTCAATGAAAGAAATTCTGTTAGACAGAGATAATGATCAACATTGAGTTTTATTTGTGTTCTCAGAAGTGATGATCAAATTGCGAAGTTTTCTTCTACAGAATGTGGTTACCACCAAAGAGTTCACTGTGTTAAGAACCGTTCGCCATTATTGTCAATGAGCAATGTTATCACCAGAAAAACACTTCTGGATTTCTTCTTTACCAAGTTCTTGAGGTAGCGTACGTAACTATACTCTGTCTTGGGAACACTATTTGAGAAGCAGAGCAAAGATTTATTCCGTTAGGTATCGCCTTCAATGGAGCAAAACCAAAAGCGCACAAAAGCAAATCAAACCTTTAAGGAATATTCAGTAAGTGTTCTAAAGAAAATCTTAAATCTTCGCAGATAGTTTCCAATAATCTTCAGCATGCTTTGGTACGGAGTGCATTTTCAAGATGATTCGTTCTTTCTTCAAACGTTCTATAGCGTGGTTTGATTGTTTTGTGCATTATGTAATTATTTCTTTAAACATCAGTACGTTTTAAGGGATTTTCATAATCCATGTTAAGGACACAAGAACTTTGATACGACATTCAGTTCCTATTCTGATTCATTAGAAGCGTCATTTTTTACTGCTTTTTACCCTTTCCGATGCCAAACACCAGAACTACCTGCTTTCTTTCTTTCTATTACTTCACGATAGAAGTGCCTTTGCTGTTAGACGTCAGTACAGATTATTTTACTCGACTAGACAAAACTCTAGCCAGCTGCACTTTTACATTTGACTGAGCATTTTTTCCCCTCCCCGTAACCATAATTAGAATTTGTTACAAGATAAAGCAAGTCCAACTGGGGAAAATAAAATGAAAGCACACAAATTAGGATATAATTTGCTCTGTGATTTTGTAGAGACATTAGATTTTTTTACGCAGGAGAGACGGAAAATGAACGATGCCCTCACCAGGACCCGAACCACGGACCTCTCGAATACGCGCCGAGCGTGCTGACCACTACACCACACAGGCGGCGGGACAAATACCTTACAATTTTTCATATATTCAATAAGCTGAGATCAAGACGTATATCAACCTCATTTAGATTTCTGAATAATTCAGTCGGAAATTTCAAAGATTCTGGAGTTTGAAAAGTATTTACTGAGTTGAATAAATTAATTTCTACATATAACATCTAGCAAATGATAAATTCATTCACACAATCCGGATTTTTTTAGAAATTAAAGTGGGATTAGAATACGCTCTTATAACTTATCGTCTTCTTCTCGAACTTTCTACTAACACATTAAAATTATAAAATTAAATTTATTATTCTTATTCAACCGTTATCTTTCAATAGTTAAAAAAAGTGCTACGTAGAGAAATATAGCATCCGTATTTTAGGAGTAAATTATCCTGAGCAAGGTCACTCATAGCCGCACAAAGGACATGAATTGCCTTCTATTGGCCTAAACGAAAAAAATACGAGATGGAAAGAGGAATAATTATATGCTTCTAGCTCTTTACTGTCACAGTTATAAAGAATTAAAACAAAATTATTAATTATCAGACTTTGAAATATTTCCAATATCTACAGAAAGTGGTAACCAGTAGAGATCTAAGTAATTTATCACTCAGCTAACTTTACTTTAAGTACTTTGATTGAAAATGTATGTTGATCTAAGTTTTTTGAATAAATTTAGTTTTACAAAATTTTAAAGAATGTAAAATTTATTAATTTCCTTCTATCAGTGCGCTGTGGTAGCTATCATGGATATCCAGTAGATGATTCCATCTAAAAGTAGCCAATATTTTTTTGAGAACACTAAATTTCGGTATTGAAAATCACTCATATTCTAGATCTCTAAGGCGAACACCTTCACCAAACCAGAAGAATTCACAAGGACACCAGTATCCACCATTGGTTTCGCACAGTGTTCGTACTAACATTATGAAAAACTATGCCCGAATTTTGATGGAAAAAGCCCCAGGTGAAGGATCCAAGAGTTTTTCTTCCCCTGTTAAAGAACCAATTGAGAGGAGTTTCGGCTGGCCTGTATTTTTAATGTGTTCATGCCGCACAAACGTTGCCGCACAAACTTACAAACATCCACGCCTTGTGTGGGATTCGAACTTGCATCAAAACAAATGGTAGACAGCATCATTAAACCCCTATACCAATCAGGACTGAGATCGCTTTCACAGAAAAACAATGCCATATTGAACTGTGAAAAACCCTTTTCGGTCCATATCGATCAAGTCTTCGGTCCATATCGATCAAGTCTTCGGTCCCACCACTTCTGTACTGATTAAATCTGATTTAAATCTTTTTCCCGTTTTGCACCCTTTCTTCATGCGGTGCATTTGAGTTACCTCAAGATGATGTATTTCCAGTGAAGGTTGTCACCTATGGCGTGATATGTGTTAAAGACATGTGTTAATATGGTTAAATTATACAGTCCCACTCTCTTTAGTATCACTCATGAGCTCTAGAAAGACTATAGAGGAATAATCCTCTTGTCCTAAACTGTAGATAGACAAAAGTCAAAAGAAGGGTTTATGAGGCCCTTTTATTCGAACACAAAAATCTTCACAGACAAGGACAACACTTCCGACTTAAACAAATAATGCTGAACTAAAATTAAATGTAGTTAGGTTAGTAAAAGGCTTGCGGGATAAAGTAACGCGCAAAGAGGCTTTGGTTTGTAGAAAAACGGCGAAACAAGCTTAATGGCTAGAAGCACTCAACGCCACAGAATCAAATTGCTATTTAGGCAAGTAGGTTGAACACGCTCTAAAATCAACTTCGCTAGCACTTCTTTCTCCCTCTATCTGAATAAACTCTCGCTATCTCATTTACATTCTGGCATGAGAAGCGTGGGTGAAAAGGAAAGCGACAGAAAAGTGCTTTAACGCTGAATTAACTATTAGTCAAAAACAAATAGATAAATCCTCATAAAATTTAATAAATTAAAACTGGTTTTCATCTTTTTAAGGCTACATTGGCTTCAGCCGATCACACGACTGTACCATTTCAATTCGAAGAACGTTCAGCAATATTTGAAAAATATTTAATAACTGACCTACACTAGAAAGAAGTCCTAGAAACTACCTTAAGCTTTTCGCAATGATTAATTTTAGGTGAAGAATAGTTTTTTATAGCTATTATTTTTCACTCATTTGTCTGTATAACGTTTTGAGAATTTTTACATCGCAAAATCTCACTTCTTTCATGGGGACTTTGCTACATTTAATCTCAAGCCGACATCTTGTCGTGATACAGAAGCTCTAAATCTCAATTTTTTTTGTTCTAGCTTGATGACCGACATGTTATTTAAATTAATCAACATACATTTCCCCACGATTAATCTTGAAATAGTATCCATGTCACGCTGAAATGTAGCAAGCGTCCTACGTAAACCGAAAGGCAACTTTCGAAATACAATAAAATCCTAATGCTATAATAAATGCCCTTTTGCTAAAATCTTCCGGTCTCATAGTTCTCTGAAACTGTGTGAAGGTGAGATCTAATACACTAATCAAGCAATTCACAGATTATATTTAATAATTTATTCACAGATTTTAACGAGTATTTAGAGTTTTACTTTCTTAGTAACATAAACTAGTGTCAAAACTCCTATTAGACTTGTAGCGAATGATCGCTCATTCTGAAGGTAACGACAAAGTCTTGAAGTAATCTTTTTATTTAAACAGAAATTTATTAATAAAAAATTAAGAGCACGTCTCGTGCTTGACAAACTCAGCCAGCGCATGAGATAACAGTAAATTCAAATTTTAAACTAAGCTAGTAGTCAAAGACTTACACAATTTAATTTAACGGGAAACTGGACTCACTATTCTAGCCCACGTACGTATTCAAATATTCAGCTGCAATAATGCAAAGCCGAGTAATTCAGGCTATCAAAGCTGGAAGAAACGAAACGTGCACGCACAACCGGCAGAAACACGCTGTGTCTTAAAATACAATCTCAACTTAAATACTCAGTCTAATTTGCATTCTAGCGAAGAAACGGAAGGGAAAAGTAACAGTAAAGATCCAAAACACAAAATAAATGGTTAATAAAAAATAATAGTAACATTTCAAGTGGTTATAAATATACTGTTATAAATATATAAATATTTTTATACTATTTTCGATAGCGTACAATACAATATTTTTGACAGCGTACGAGCAGGTTTTATATCTGTAGATTTTGGATTTAACTGGAGGGACTTGCACACATATCATCTTCATGTGTGTGACAGCACGGTTAGACCAGATGCTCATTAAACAAATTTGCATCAATCGGAGATATAAAAAAGATCAGCATTTCTGAGCACATAAAAAAACATCAACTATACTCAATATCAGCTATTCAGTGACCACAGTTCCAGAAGAAAATAATCTGGGTAACTCTGTATGGCTGTCAGAGGGATTTTAGTGTAATTCATTAAAATTTGGTTAATTCCTTCAATAATTCATTATAAGTTTTTCATCGCAGTAAATTATACGTTTTCCATTGCAGGTTTTACTGCATTTTTCCAACTGAAGCAGTGGCAATAAACAAGCAGCGCAAAAGCAGCAATAAATCATCACCAGTTCTTTTAAATCAATATGTGTATAGCTCTTTTCTTAAAAATAAATAAAATACAATAAAGCTTTCTTAAATAAGGATCACCCATGCTCTTAGACACAGGTGAATTTGATCTTCCGTGATAAAGATGTTAATGTTCAATACTAACATTTATTAATGTTAAGAAAGATTGGTCATATTCAGAGATGATCATCTACGGAAGATAATCGTTCACTATATATATTTTAGAATAATAAAAAAATTCTTTATATTACATAGAAGAACAGTGAAGACTGAAATTTCTAACCAAAAGATGATTTTCATGTACACAGCTCACCAAACAATGGCGAGATCGTCATAAGCTTATATCTGTCAATACCTTTAAAAGAAAGAACTCAAAACAAACTTATTCATAATTTTAATAGCAGCAAATGCATTATCATATGAGTGTTTGCTTCTTAGTGCTATACTTTAAGCTTTGATAATAGTATAAGGTATTTCTCCCACTTCCCTAGCGTGCCTTCGTGGTGTAGTGGTTCAGCACGCTGGGCCGGTATTCCAGAGGTCCGTGGGTTCGATTCCCGGCGAAGGCCGTTGCATATTTTTCATCTCTCTGGCTTCCAAAAAATTACTTAATGGCTCCACAAGTGGCGTCCGAACTAAAAGGGTTGTGGATGATGATTCTCCGCACCCAGGATTTGGCGACTAGGTCCCCTAAAACCCTAATCGCCCTTTAAAAAGGGGAGTATATAAGGTATTTCTCCCACTTTCCTAGCGTGCCTTCGTGGTTTAGTGGTTCAGCACGCTGGGCCAGTACTCCAGAGGTCCGTGGTTCGATTCCCGAAGAAGGCGGTTGTTAATTTTTCATCTTGGCTGCTTCCAAAAAAAATAATAATAATGTCCTAATGGCTCTACAATAGTTTCCATAGTTTATAGGAAAAAATAAGTCGATTTCGGTTACCTAGAATGTTTCGGCCTCCATTCAGATAACTGAAGTTTCAATTTATAAAAATCGTATAGCTATATGATGTTACTTGTAAGTTTTTACAATGCACAAATCAAGGTAATACTGTAATTATTCTTATTAAAGTAGAAAAATTAAAGGCTCTGCTGTTACATTCTGCTTTCTGAATGCTGATTACATTAAGAAATTTATATTTATTAGGCAGCAACATCTTCTTCATGCACCTATAGCTAACTCTTTAAATAAATATTTTTTTTCTTTCAGATAACAATTCTATTGACGTAGGAAGATTTCCAGCTAATGTATCTTGTGAAAAGAATGCATAAAATCGTCAAGGTGTTTTTTGTGTAGTTTATAAAACTATTTCTTGTATTGATTTCGAAATGTTGTTACTTTTTCTTGAAATAAAGCATGTACGTTTCACTTTCGAATTCATTTTATGATTAAAAAATTCCTTAATAATGGGAGTATCTGAATTGCGATGAATTAGACCACATTAGAACTAGTGCCTACGCTTATTGGCCTGAGAATATTATCAATATTTATCTAATTATATGATGACGGTCAAACATTTTTCTAATTATTAAAGAGAAAACAATATTTGAGTATGTTTGAATAATAGAAAATTATTTGGCCAGCTGGTATCACAAAGTGCATTTCAAAATTAATGTTCCACATGCTTATAATACCATAAAACGTGTTTAGACTGCGTTTTATAATAGATTATACCATTGCTTCTAAAGATAACAGTCTTAGTTTATTAAACACAAGAGGACTATTAAAAAACTATTTATTGAATCTAAATACGAGAGAATAAGAACACTTAAAAGAATAACTGAGAATGAATTATTCCTGGAGTATCAACTCATTAAAGCAGAAGTCGCAGTAAAACTTAATATGCAAATGTGGTAAAATAAGCCCTTAAACAACAGAAAATATTTATAATATTATACAAAGATTATTAGTCTTTCAGCACAGAGAAATGTTAAAATTTTTATGCCCTCATTGCCCTTCGAGTCACAGTTACACCATAACAGCATGCATGGAAGATCAGATAATTCTTTAACTGTGCCCGCCCCGAAATTAATTTAACTGTTTACTTAATTAACTCAACTGTGCCATCGCCGAAATTCTAAGCACGGATTCTTTAGCTGTCAGCTGGATGTGTTAACCACTTTAAGCCAGAAGCATGAACGGTCATATACAATAATTCCTTAAAATAAATACATAGCTCCCTTGTTATAATTATCATTTTATATATCAGAGAACTCGAATTGTTTTAGCAGATTAAAGTGTTTTTCAAGTTAATCTTCCCAAAGAAATGTCTAATGATTTCGGGTATTTCCTGATATTCTGCAACAAGGGGAAAATATAATAAAAATCTAAACTGAAAAAACAATTAATAAGAACACTTATTAGTATAAAGCTTCACACTCTGAAAAGGGGTTTCATCTTAGTAGGAGTAATGTAGATGATTCAAAGAAATAAATTTGAAAAGGTGCTACTAAATGCTCTGAAGTTCATGACACAAAACCACATCATGATCAGATGGGAGGCAATTGTTCCTAATATTATCGGGTATTGGTTCCGCTCCCTAGATTCCAAGAAAACCTATATTCTTCTTCGGTTGTGTACGAAGTAGAACAAGGCCACTAGACAGAAAGGTGAAGGACTGAACAAGTGCAATTAAATCAAATCTTCCCGATTTTACTTCTGGTAAAATGTTCGTGCATCGCTTGATAAGGAGCCCGCTGAAAGACGAGGAAATCACGATAAGATGATAACACATAAGCCGACGGAACAATGAAACTATTATCAGAACTTCACTCGAACACAGCCAAAACACCGAATAAGTAACGATACGTCTCAGAATTCTGATTACCAGCCTTGAGCTATTCCCTCCCCCAAAAAACCATAATTAGCAATGTTATTATCACCCTTTCTCAAAAAACTGTCTACAGGAAATGCAGTTAATATCACAAAGCGTTTGATGGTTACAAAGCAGTACGCTATTTAGTGATATTAACGATATCGTCATTAAATCGTGACTAGTGGAATTAATATTGTTTTCTGTTTATAAACATTCAGTTTAGTAATAGTAACGCAACATTTATATGATAGCTTCTCCCTCCTTTCCGCATGCCTTCGTGGTGTAATTGAAGCATACTCGGCGCGTATTCGAGAAGTTCAGGGTTCGAGTCCCAGCAAGGAGACTGAACATTTTTCACGTTTCCTGCTTCAAAATAACCTAATGACTCTACACATTCACTTGTATTAGCATATATACGTTTATGAGGGCCCGGAACACTTACCCGTCAACCACTTAGACGACGAGACAACCGACACCAGTTAGGCGACTGGACATTTAGCCGACACGGACACTAAGCCGACAGGAAATTTAGTCGACATGAACACTTAGCCGACAGGTCATTTAGCCGACAAGACATTTAGCTGACAAGGACACTTAGCTGACAGGACATTTAGCCTACAAGGAGACTTAGCCGACAGGACATTTAGCCAACACAGAGAGTTAGCCATCAGGACATTTAATTACGGGACATTTAACTGTCAAGACTTTTAGTCAACAGGACATTAAGCCGACAGTGACGTTTAGCTGACACGTACCCAATAATTAGTTAAACTTACTATCGATTATAAAATTTCTCGTTTTCTCCGTAAGTTCAATATTTAAGTCATTTTTTTCACTTATCAGTAAAATTCATTTTTCGATTCTTAAATATCCCATATGTGCTTTGAATTCTTATGTAATCTAGCGTAGTTTGATATACGTATATCGTGCTGTTTGTTGAATATTGGCCAAAGCGTTGAAATTTCTCGTCAGAGAATATTAATTAATTTTCAAAAGGAAAAAATAATTTTTTTAGCTAAGTACGACGATCACTTACTAACATTTTAATACGGGATCTGAAAAAATTGTCCGTAAAGTTTCTTCATTTAATCAACTGGGTTCCTTTCAAGCATCATGAATAATTTTTCTTGTTTAGTTAATGATATTAATTTTCCAATCTCGCTCTTCCTAATGCTTTCAAATTTCTAATACCTTTTCATTTCACTACTATTTTACGTTACTATTTTATATATTAAGTAAAAGGGTCACTCTATTTCTGTTAGGCCCAGCAGCCGCCGAGTGGTAAAGTCGCTGAGCACAGGTAGTTCGGTCTGAAGTTCGAATACCGCGAACGGACTGGCCGCATAGGTGTTTTCGTGTAATGGGTACACGAGCCAGTTTTAATTTAAAAGTCCTCCACGAAGGTATCCCTCCCCTTAGGCAGATAGTCCTCTCACTTTACCGTAATTACATAAACCGAACGAAACCAAACCTACTTTTGTTAGGTGGTCGCAGACCACGAGGCACGAATTTCTGAGCTGCAGACCTATCCCATATGTTAAGTGTCTCGTCAGCTAAGTGTGGTTGTCGGCTAAGTATCAGTGACCGCGTTTATGGTATGCTGATGACTACTAAAACTGCTATACTATGAAAGAAAGCAGCTAGCAGAATCATATATTTTTAGAAACAAATTTTAATACATGGTTATAATGATCAAAATTTCAAGTAATTTTGAAATACAAAACATTCAGAAATCAGTGCGCTGAACATTCACCTCTGGTAACAATAACAGCTACTGTATAGCTGGCCATGGTCATGGTCATGGACTTTGGATGATAATTAAGGTTATTAGTCCATGCGGTTTTAGTTGTATGCTACAAATCAGATCATTCAGAAGACTTTTAATTTGGTGAGAAATCTAGCAAACATGTCGGCCAAGGTAAGAGTCGAATATCCATTGCATTGAGAAAACGTCGAACAGTATGAGAAACATGCGATTTTTCTTTGTCCTGTTGAACTGTAGATGAAGAAGGCTCCACGGCATAGTCTTTGTTATTTCGGGCATTAGTGAACAGAGACCGCTGAGAAATCCCACATGCCGCTGTGTGTGGCCTTCCCGAACTCATGGATCATTGGATCTCGACCAATGGGAGCACCATCTGCACGACAGAATGATCCGCAGTCCTGGAAGATTTTGATTCTCCGGCGATAGAATTTTGACTGACTCATGCTGAGGTTTCTCAAACGACTTCCGACTAAAACAATTATGACTAAACACGTTTTCTGAATGAAAAATCGGTATTTTGATTTGCCTTTTTACCACGGAATAAAGGATGTTTCTAGTCACTGTGAAGACTTAATTTTCTCCAGAAGTCGAATCTAGGCAGACTCGAGTTCTGGGGGAAAATTAACAGTCATCAAAGTGACTAGAACCGTCGTTTATTCGGTAGTAGGCTCGGGCTTGGCAGGAATCATATGGTACTGAGTTGTCTGTCCCTTGGTTGTGGGCTACATGCTTTGATATCGAAGGTTGTCCTTGGGGGTTTGTGTCCCCTTGGTCAACATTGAGGGAACAGTTAATGTCAAACAAACGAACTGCCTCCTTGGATCGCTCTAGAGGTTGAGATGATTAATCGTGTGAGGCTGCCTTGAGCAGTGCCAGGTGTGGGTGCCTCTTCCTCCTAGTGCACTGCCTTTTTATTTCAATTTGTCAATCTGCTTCAAGATGTTATTATTCTTACTTATAATGCAAGCATGCAATGAAATGCTAATATTTTACATATCCAAACATGTTCTACCTCTTTAAAAACTTCAGATTTACTATAAACTTCCTTCATAGTACAGCTACTTTAACGGCTTGCAGTTTATTTACATATATCTTTTAATGATATTAACATTAACTAGTCCAAATATTTTTTCATTTCAACTAGACATTGACTTCGCAGATTGTGCAGCTAATTAGACTATTGTTAAATTTAATGTCGCAAACAATGAAATCTTCTGTGCATTATTTTCAGTATGAACGACGAGATACGATGTTAATAAATTTTTTTCTTGGCTATTATTTAATTAATAAGATCACCTCTACAAGTATCCACTATTTTTAGAACGCAAATAAACAACGACATTGAACATCGCCTCTCTTAAGTGAGAATATCCTCAGAAAACCAAAATCGTTAAATCCGGAGGTGTTCTTCTTAGAGCTGATCCAATACATTTATGTGTCTACTCATTATAAATGCGATTAACTAACCGTGACATGTAAAGTAAATCACATTGGCTGCTAGGTAGCAGTTTACAGATTAATAACAAAGAATAACAGCTATAAAATAAACACCAGTATAGCGTACCACTTTTCTATCAAAGCTGCTTCCTTGTAAAGTTAAGCCTTTTAGATGACTACACACCAGCCGATTTTGATCTTCTATGAAGGTTGTCGCTTTAATGAAGTGATATTCAGTACCATTACTAAGTAATGTAGGTCATTTTTTAAAGTAATTGTCGTAGGGAAGTATTTTCTGAGATTCAGTCCCTAATATATATATTCATAAGAATTACTCTAAATTACTTTAATGTTGTCTA